TTTTGGTTTAAGTTTTTCTTTACTGTCACATTTTTTGCAACAACAGAAACTCCTACAAAGCAGTTCTTCACAAAGGTGATTACCAATTTGGGTCATTATATTTTGGCATATACCACAAGGCACTAGGTTGGGAGCTCTATTGACCCACTAATTATATTAAAAGTATTCAATTTGGGTGGCTGGGGATACAGCTCAGTTGGTAGAGTGCTTGCCTAGCATGCACAAGGCCATAGGTTCAATTCCCAGCCCAACAAAATAAATAAATAAAGTACTACATTTAAAAAAATTTTAAGTTGTCAATGAACCTTTATTTTATTTATTTATATACAGTGCTGAGAATTGAAACCAGTCCCCTGCACATGCTAGGCAGGTGCTCTATTACTAAGCCTCCACTCCAGCCCCTATACTCAATTTTTGAAATGAATTCAAATCTATAACTTTTTTAAAATTTTTTTTTAGTTGTCAATGGACTTTTATTTCATTTATTTATATGCAGTGCTGAGAATTGAACCCAGTGCCTCACACATGCTAGGCAAGTGCTCTACCACTAAACCACAACCCCAGCCCCTCAAGTCCATAATTGTTTTAAACTAAAATTTTAAGTAACTCTGGTTCGTTATTTTCAGCTGGATATCAATTGCTTACTTTTCTGTATCCCATCTTGCATCTGTCAGCAGCATCAGGGAAAAAATACCTAGTCTGTGGTTCTGATTATTCCTCAGGTTTTTGCACTTTTGGTTTCCATATCAAACTTTTTTGATACTGGAGGTTGAATCCAGAGGCACTTTACCACTGAGCCACATCCCCAACCCTTTTAATTTTGAGACAGGATCTTGCTGAGTTGCTGAGGTTAGTCTTGAATTTAGGATCCTCCTGCCTCAGTCTCTCAAGTTGCTGGGATTATAGGAATGGGTCATTGCGCCCAGCTCATAGTTTCTCTTTTATAATTCAGTATTACACTCTAATCTCTTCTGTTTTCATATAACCAGACTTTGTTATTTCCCTTTACAAATTCACTTAGATTATTTGGGTGGATATCTAAAATCTGTTCACCTGTAATTGGACTCTGGTTACTTTAATCAAGACAGATTTTTGCACATACCACAAAACTCAACATGCTTTTCTCTGCTGTTTCACCCTTTTGGCAAAACAAATGCCATAATTTCTAGCATTTCTCTCTTCTAGTCCAGTGTTACAACATTTTCCTGTTGAGAGTATTCCATTCCTATCTTCTAAATGCTATCTTACTTATGCTAGTAAGTGTACTTCTCATATCTATTCAGTTTCTTTTTGATGACTTCCATATACACTGAACTCATAGTCTTGGACATACTAGGCAAGTGCTCTGCATTGAGCTACAGACCCAGCCCAATGATTCAGGTTTTTAATGTTATATCAGGCTTTTGTTCCTACCCTCTCATAATCAGACTTTGAATTGTGATCCTTAAAAACAAGGTGGAGAATATTCAAGAAAAAAGAAAACTGAGGTAGATAACCAGAGAAAGAAGAAGGAATTATGAAATTAAATTCAGAGCAAAAGGAAAGGTAAAAAGAGACTAATGGAAAGTTAAGGCTGCCTTTTGCAGCAAATCACTGGTTATAACTACTTCTGCCATCTCTTTTTTTTCTAATGTGTTCTTTGTGGGAAAAATCTGGAATGTATATCTAATTAAGAAATTTTTAAAAATCTTACAGGTAATTTTCTGTGTAATTGGCTTTTAATTTTACTTTTAAATTTCTCTTAATAGCTACATTTTTCTATTCCCACAGTTGTTTTTATTATTACTTAACTTTATAATCCTTTTCTAAAATCGAGTGACTTACAATTAATTTCTGTGGTTTCTTATCCCACAAGCATGCTGAATTTAATTTTATACTGAGATAACCCCTGTGATCTGCCTAAGAGATGTACTCTTCTTTATGTAATAACATTTTCATCTTATAGGTCTTTAAAGCAATTTTGCTTTATAAATTACAAAGTGGATTTTTTTATAGCAGTGTAAACACAGAATGTGTGGAACTCTATTCCCACTCCTTTAAAAACTGTTTTGTTGTTTTTTTCCCCAGCAACCAAAAAATTTTATTCATTACAAATAGCTACTCATAATATTGGGGTTCATTATGACATAATCATAAGACATGGAATATAATTTTCTACCCTTCAGTCCCTATTACTTCCCCTTCCCCTCCCCTAAAATGGTTTTATAAATTGGTGTTACTGGAGTTTGAACCCAAGCTAGGCAAGTGAATACATGAACACATGCTAGGCAAGTGCTGTAGCTATATCCCCAGCCCTTGGAAATGTCTTTTTAACAAAAGTTCTGAATGAGAAAAAGAAATGGCTTCAGTTTTCTTTTTTCTCTTTTTGGGAGTAGGTGGGGGGATAACAGGGAATTGAACCCAGGGAGTGCTTTATAAACATTGAACTGCATCCCCAGCCCCTGTTTAATTTTTTTATATTAATATGGGGGTGTCTCACTAAGTTGAGGAGACTGACTAGTCTTGAACTTGCAATCCTCCTGCATCAGTTTCTGGAGTTGCTGGGAGTACAGATTTCACCACCACTCCTGGCTTGAAAAAAAAAAGTTTTTAAAATTTTCCTCTAAATCAGTGTTTCTCAGCTTGTGGCTTAGTCAATGTTATTGTTAAGAAGTTTGCATCCTTTTATACACTGGGCATTGCCTGGTGACAAGAGTTAAGTCTCCCATGTTTATTCTTTTGTTATGATGTGATTCTGATTAATAGAGATATGATTAGAATTTAAGTGTTTTTAGTGAATAATTTAGGAATTCTTTTTCCAGGGCCTTATGTGTGATAGGTAATGCTCTACTACTGAACTATAGCCCCAGCCCTTTTAAAGGAATTCCTAAATAAAACTAAGTTTGTTTTTGACTCACAAAGTTACAACTTGGTCCAGGTAGCTTTCTATAAGAGGGGTTATATCATCGCCTGCAGTGTATATAGGAGAAACTAGGACAGACCTACTAGTAACCTAAGCAGTCCCAGCAAGGGTTACCACCTTATGCCTGACAGTCAGGTCTGGGTGAATTGTACCATGTGTTGATCAGTTTCCTCTTATTTGCAATTTTTTTGTTTTTGTTTTTAAATAGAATGGAGGAGAGTTCTTCCTGTTTCTACCTCCACAGCAGCAAATCAACTGGGCCCAAGTCTCTAATAAAACAGAAAAAGCAGTTAGCCTTCTCTTATAGTTCTAAATTCTGGATGTTGGAGAGAAGAACCAGCTCTTTCCTTCCCAGGTCAGGTGTAGACAGGTGTCAACCATTGTTACACAGAGCAGAACTTTTAGGCCTGTGCCATCACATGTTGCCTTTCATTATTTTTTAAATAGTAACTCTGTATAGAACTAGGAATGTAGCTTTGTAGCCTGCTTGCCTAGCATGCTGGAGGACCTTGGTTCTATCCCCAGCACTTCAAAAAAGAAAAACTAACAAAAGTTCTATATGTTTAGGAGTTTTTTCATTACTTTAAAAAATATATATATATACATATATATATTACATGTTGATGGACCTTTATTTTATTCATGTATTTATATGCAGTGCTGAGAATAAAACCTAGTGCTTCACATATAGTAGGCAAATGCTCTACTACTGAGCCACAACCCCAGCCCTCATTACTTCTTTATAAAACTGAACATAACTTTGTTTTTGTTTTTTCAAAGTTGCCTATGTTGCAAACTGAGTTTGGATGAAATAAAATATTTGCAGTAAGGCAATCCTGAGAATAAAAATGGAAAGAAAGCCTATGAAATTTGGGAACCTTCAGAAAGTTTAGAGTCACTGCCTAAATATTGAAATGCCACCATTTGTTGTTTGGAGGGATGTGGAGCTAAATTGAGAATGGGAGCACACATCTGCCTTGACTGCTAAGTATATCCATCTCTATTGCTCACCCATAATAGAATTTTGATGTGTGCATTCATTTGTCTTGATTTTAGCAACAGTTCCCCCAATTTGGTGCTAGGGATCAAACCCAGGGCCTTGTCCGTGCTTAAGCTCTATCACTGAGCTATATACTTCTGGCCCTTAGCAGTAGTTTAAAGAGAGAGAGAATGAAGAGATTTAGCCTATATTTCTTTTTCCTTCCTGTTTATGTTTGAGTGTCCCTAATAGATCCAGTTCTTTTTCGTTATTATTACTGTTGGCTTTTGTTTTTTGTTTCTTTAGAAAGATCAGTGAAAAACTGAAAAGACATTATTTTCTAGTATATTGTCAAGAAAGAGGAAGAATATTACTCTTCCCTTTTTACTTTCTGGCAAGTAAAATGACTTAGTAAAGAAATTTTTGCCTGTACCTGTTACTGAGCCAAATAACACTGAGAAATCACTGAGGAAACAACCATCAGGTCACTTTAGTCTCAACACTGTGGAGAAAACAGGGTCAGTCCAGTTAGAGGTAGTTATGTGTGAGCAGCAAGTTTCTGGCAGCCAGTTCTACAACCAGCTTGGCCTCTATCCTGCTTCTCATGGCCTTACCTTCTTATGTGACTATTCTGAGGTTAGTTTGGATCCAAACACTGTGCTCATTGCTGTCTTTGGCACATGGAAACTAAGTTTAAAGCCAAGCCAACAACCCAGTTCTTTAAAAATGTTTTCAGACCACACAAGGTGAGTTGTTAATTTTCTTCAGGTAGTTTTAGGCTTTAGGAGACTTCATAAAATTATTCGCAGGGAGGAGTTTGAAGGATGTGAAACAAGTTTATTTCTTCTGCTCTGTTGGCCACTGCTATCTTCATGGATCTGACACTCTATTTATCTGACAGTGCACTTAGTACTGCTTCGCCAGGGAAAATCACACAAAACAACCCTGGCGCATCAGCACTTTCATTGTGTGCTGGGCTGAGCTTCCCTTCACATGGTCACATCCCCATTTTAATCCAGTACTCCCTTTCCCTGTCCCTACCCCAGACCTGTCTCTGTGGCACTTATTGCTGGCTTCCCTGAGCTCCTGTTTCCACTTTGTGTTTTTTGTGGGGCCCAGGAAGCTAAAGCTGTGTGTATTTGTGGATCAGACAAGTGCAGCAAGTTAATATCATTGGCTTCTGAAGGGGAGAGTGAGGTGATGGCTGCGTTTAAGTTGGATTTCCTTCCAGAAATGATGGTGGATCATTGCTCTTTGAATCCCAGTCCTGTGTAAGTATTTTTGTTGTCTAATTTTTATCATAAGCAGAGGAAATGGGCTGTTTTCCCCCCTCCTCCTTCTCTTCTTCCCCCTCCTCCTCCTCCTTTTCTTTTTAAAAATCTGATAAAAATGGTCACTTTCCTTTAAAGAGGAAGTAAAAATTTGGGAAATAAGCCAAAATCTGAATTCTCTCATGCTATTATTTTCTATTTTAGTCTGATTTTGTCTCATAACTGCTAATTTCCTCCAGGCTATAACTAAGTTCTTTGCACAAGGGTGCACTTGATGTATATGACTAGCAACATCAGCTCAAGTGTTCTGGCTCCAATCTTTCAAGCTGTATAGTGTTTCCACATATGATAGATTTCAAGGCTTATTATTGTTTTGTTTTTTAACTATGGCTTTATTGCTTGGTTTGGGTATGCAGTTTCATTTTGGGGGGAGGAGGAAGAGTTTTACTTAAAACTTTTAATTATCAAATTCTTAAACTCCTATCACAGGGGAGACTAGTAGTTAGGATGTTTTTAGTACTATATATAGCATTCTGTATTGAGATGCAAAGTGTAATACTAGACCTTGATCTCCCCCCCCCCAAGTTTAATAGAAAATAAGGCTTATTAGTGCATGATTTCAGGAATATCAGATTTATCTCTATCTTCCAAAAAAAATTTTAAAGTGGATTAATCTCAGTTGTCAGTTTGACAAATAAATTGTGGATGTGGGAATGAGAAACCTTGTTAGTTTACAAGAGTGCAAGAACTGCATTGTACAGAGCTAAAATGCTCACTTGATCCTGAGTTACAGAACCCGAATTCTGGACTTGGCAGAGAACCATTTCCAACTCCCTGAGTTTGGTCAAAGTCTATCTTTAAGATTTTACTCACTTTAGGCTCAAATAATGAGCTGGAGGTTATTCAAAGCCAAAAATATTAAATGATAGATCATTCCCTAAATAACAGGTGTTAGGGGGCTGGGGTTGTGGCTCAGTGGTAGAGCAGTTGCCTAGCATGTGAGAGGCACTATGTTTGATTCTCAGCACTGCATAAAAATAAATAAATAAAGGTATCGTGTCCAACTACAACCATACATATATATAAAACAGATGTTAGTGCAAGTCTGTGAGGTTAGGTTTCCATGTGTGAATCAGTCTGACCTGGGATTAGGAATAACAAGTGTGGATAATAGCAAGATATGTTGTAGAATAATTTGTGGGGGTCTCCAAGTTAGCCATCTTGCTCTTTTGAAATGGATCTTGTGCCTTCTCTGCAGTCTCCCAAACAATGGTAATTTTAATGTGTCTTTTATTACAGGTCTTTACTACCAAATGCTATTTTAGCAGTAGTTGTCAGGTGAAAGTACAGTATCATCATAAAAACATAGTATGTAATAAAAGTATATTTGATTCCTAGAAAGAGAATTTTGTGGCTCAGATTATCTTTGCATTGTAACACTTTTTCTATATGCTTTGCTTCTGGTGTTCAGTCTCTTAGATGCAGTTTTTTTTCTCATCCAGTTTTCTCATCTTTTAAGAATTTGGACTGATTAAGTATTCCTGAGGTCTGGACCATGGATCACTGCATGAATATCACCTGGAGCTTAAAAATCTAAAGAATACTTATGCTAGAGTAGGATTCAAAACTCTGTATTTTATTATTTATTCATTTATTTATTTGTGCTGGGGATTGAACCGAGGGCCTTGTATATGCTAGGCAAGCACTCTACCAACTGAGCTATATTCCCAGCCCCTAAAACTCTGTATTTTAATAAGTATAATGTGTAGTTTCCATGGACACTACAGTTTGAAACTACTGGCCTTAATACAGGGATTCTGAGTTAGAATTAACTGAGAATGGAGTGTCAATGTTTTCCCAGTGCATTTGCATCTGTTTTAGTCCTCCATTTTCACCAAAACTTTGTTAGATTAACTGGGCTTAGGCTGTTGCTTCTGTGTTAAGGAAGAGGAAACCAGTTGAGAGAGAGACCCAGTTGGCTCGTTTTAGAATAACTGATATCAATTTTTGGTCTAAAATACAAGTTTAATGATACCTTTTAAAAAGTTTTTGCTTACTGGATAAGTTACCCGTCTACTGTTCCCATTGTCACAAGTCCTTGGGCCCACTCCCACAGGAATAGTACACAAAGCCACCACAAAGACAGTAAGTTGCTTTCAAGAAGAAAGTGTTGTTTTGTTGCTTGGGGTTGAACCCAGGGCCTCATGCATGCTAGGCGAGCACTCTACCACCATGAACATCCCTAACACCAGAAGAAGGTTCTTGAGGATGATGTGTGCTCACAGTCTCTCTTGAATTCTCTTTTTCTCTATTCAGTAAAGCACTACTTTAGCTGTAAGGTAAATCAGAGTTTTTAATTGCTGAAATGATTTTGTTGGAAATATAATAGAGCTTATGTCTTAATTCAGAATTCCTTTACAATAAAGAAGCAATGAAGGAGCTCTAGAAGCTCCTGGGAGCCTGGGCCCTTGTTCCTTTCTTTTTTATAATCAATATCATTGATTCTACTTTGGTAACTCTTAAGCTTCCACTGGTTCCTCTTAATTTCTTACACCCTAGGATATGGATAGTTTCCAAAAGTTATATCTCAAGCCTTGTCCCCCCCCCCCCAGCTCTCCCACTGCTGTTTCTCTGCTTCTCAGATCTATGACTTTTTATAAAAACCAGTGAAGTGGAGGATGGGGATAAGGGAGAGGGAAGAAGGGGGGGAAAGAAAAAAAAATAGAAAAAATGCCTTGTGCTGGTAAGAATATATCACAATGAAGCCTACTGTTAATGTATAATTCACCAATAAAAAGAAAAAAGAAGAATTAAAACAGCCTATCAGACATTTTCATCAGAAGTCTTCCTCTCAAAAAACAATGTCCCGAGGTGCCTGAACTAGAACCCAAGTTATACTGACCTCTTCTTCCTCACCTCCAACTCTTCTCAAGTCTGTTTTTTCCCTTTCTAATGTACACTATCTCACTCTTCCCCTCTACGCTTGGACCTTATCAATTTTTCATCACCCTTTAGGCTTTCATTTCTCATGCCATATAATGCTTCCCAGTTGCCTAGTCCATTTGGCTTAAATGCCCCCACACACCTTCCCCCTCCTCCAAATAAAGTAAAACCAGGTTTGTCACATAGTTCATAGAATTTTTCTACCTTTTTTTTTTTTTTTTTTTTTTTGGAGCTCAGTAGTGGGTAGAATCTGGCACTATAGAAAGAACTTGGAAAGTACAGTTCATCTATCTACCCTTTGAGGATTTTGTTTAGTTTGGGTAGTAGATGATTGCAAAGATAAGATCGACAGATTTTCTTTTACCTCAGGGGAAAAGGCTGAAAACCTTCAAACGCATGTAGTTGTGCTGTTATTGGAGGTGAACTTAAAAACCTATGTGAACTGGGTATATAGCTGTAATCCCAGAAGTTAGGGAGGCTGAGGCAGGAGGATCGCAAGTTCAAAGCCTGCCTCAGCAACTTAGAGAGGCCCTAACTCAGTGAGACTCTGTCTTTAAATAAAATACAAAAAAAGGTTTGGGATGTGGCTCAGGGGTTAACTGCTCCTGAGTTCAGTCCCTGGTACCCCCCAAAACAAAAAAACAACACTCTATGCCAGTAGCATTAACGTTATATCTCCCATGACAGAAAGGTCTTCCTTATCCAAATAAAAATTACTTTTTTTTTTAATAGAATATACAGCTATTCTGTCTTATTCTCACTAGAGAACATGTGGAAAGAAACCTGGGCCTGTGTTTCTGGGGTCCTTTTATTTGCATGCATCTCTCTCTCAGTTTTTTCATAGCCCAGTATGTGAGCCATGGGGATCTATCTGGTGGTAGGTAGTAAGTGGAATCTGGAATGCAGTGAGTGTTTATGCCTGTAGGAGGTGGAGCAATTGGTTGCTCTCTGAAAATTTTCTGTGTGAAAAATGAGTAAAGAGAAATAAAAAGTTAACGAGAGAATGGCAAAATAAATAATGAAAGGTCTCAGAAATTTTATGTATTTATTTAGCACTGGGGATTGAGTCCAGGGGCATTTAACCACTGAGCCACACCTCCAGTTCTTTTCATTTTTTATTTTGAAATAGGGTCTCACTAAATTACTTAGCACCTTGCTAAGTTGGCAAGGCTGGTGTTGAACTGTGGTCCTCCTGCCTCAGCCTCCTGAGTAGCTGGGATTACAGGCATGTGCTACTGCATCCAGCCAGAAATTATTTTTAAACAGGTGTGAAGGTCATGTTTGTTAACCCTTTGGCTGGAAGGAGGACAGATCAGGTACTCACTCAAGTTGACATATACCAAGGGATTTTTGAAGGACGCTTGTCGAGTAGAGTCTAATGTTAATTAGGAGCTCTGTATCTGGAAGACCTGGAAACTCCATGTACCTCACCCCAGTATACATGTTCCACTCACTCTGCATGTGCTGCTGCTTCTACTCTTTATCCGACTTATAACTTCAGTTTACGTTATGGCTTGGCTTTGCTGTCATCCTTCCATCCTGTCTTAGGGTATGGAATTCACATACCATAAAAGTTACCCTTTAAAATTATTTTTTTAAAAAGTAGGTTTTTAAAGTGCATTTACAAAGTTTTAAAGTATATTCACAAATTCAGCTCTAATTTCATTCTCATCACCCCTGAAGCTCTAAACCCATTAGTAATACTAATGTAAAAATCATTAATTTTCCCTCCTTTTTTTTTTTTTTGTACTAAGGATTGTACAGAAGCACTTTACCACTGAACTGTATTCCAGTTCTTTTCATTTTTTATTTTTGAGACAGGGACATGGTATATTACTGAAGCTGATTTGAACATGTGATCCTCCTGGCCTCAGTTTCCTGAGTTGCTGGGATTATAGGTGTACATCTCTTTGTACAGCCTCACTCCCCTCCTCTTCCCATTCCCTGTTCCTTGAAACCACTAATGTATTTTCTCTCTATACATTTGCCTGTTCTAGACATTTCATGTAAATGAAACCACATAATACACATTATTTGCTCTCATTATTGCTTCTGCTGCTAGAAGCAGAAACAAAAAGATGGGTGTTGCTGCCATACCTTTCTGGTAAAACAGTATCATACTCAAGAGTCTTATCTCCAGTAGCTTTTTTTATTCTATGATTACTTTGAACCTTAACAACATGTATGCTGAAAGTATGTGGAAGAGGAGAATGGAAAGCATTGTTGCTCATCTCTTCATGCATAGTAGCAGTTAAGAAGGTTTGTGACTGTTTATACTCTGTGCGTGTACAAGTATGCATGTGGTTGCTTTTCTCTCTCAGTATGTCTATTGCCTGTAATACTAATATAAAAATCATTAATGTTCCTATATCATCTCTTTTTATCTTGGTGTCACCTTTATTTTTTAACCTTTAATTAATTAATTTATTTATTTTTTATGTGGTGCTGTGGATCGAACCCAGCACCTTGTACGTGCTAGGCAAGTACTTTACCACTGAGACACAACTCTAGCCCATCTCTTTGATTTTTTTTTTTTAAACAGCACCCGGTGCATTATTTTTTTCTATTTATTTTTCAGTTTTCGGTGGACACAACATTTATTTTATTTTTATGTGGTGCTGAGGATCGAACCCAGCACCCCGCACATGCCAGGCAAGCATGTTACCGCTTGAGCCACATCCCCAGCCCCTCTTTCATTTTTAACTCATGAACTCCCAAGAAAATACTGTTTTTTTCTTACTCAGATGTATACCACATCAACCAATGTATAAGTAAGTGCCCAGTATTTATTGGAGGAAGGTATAAGTCAGTACCCCAGCTGCATAATATTCACAGCATCGTGAGCCTGTATGATTTGCTGCATCTGGGCAGTGCTTATCAAACTGGTGAGCCATCTCATTTCTCACACCTTTGTAAAATAAAATGAAAATGATCAATGCATGAGCTTTTATTTTGTATTTATTATCATTAGATTGAATAACGTCTAAAATGTCTCACCAATTTTTATTAAAAATTTTCTAAAGGATTAATTTGAGGATTATTTCTGTTCCTTGGACCTAGCTTTGAATAACACTGCTCTAGGGGATTCTTCTGACTGTTGAGTTGGCGTATCAAGGTGGAAGGGTGGTTCATAGAGTAGGTGGACTTTAAGAAATAGAGATTTGGGGGCTGGGGATGTGGCTCAAGCGGTAGCGCGCTCGCCTGGTATGCGTGCGACCCGGGTTCGATCCTCAGCACCACATACCAACAAAGATGTTGTGTCCGCCGAGAACTGAAAAATAAAAATTAAAAATTCTCTCTCTCACTCTCTCTTTAAAAAAAAAAAAAAGAAATAGAGATTTGGAGAGTAAAAGAAGAGAAAATGAGGACACATGTCTAGAATTCTGAGTCTTCATTGATTTTGGATAAACTATTACATTGACTTTGCTTTTGCACTAAATGATGATGTAGAAAATTTAGAAATAACACACAGACACAGAAGCAAAGGACAAACCAGGAGATTCTGCCTACAGTGTAATACAAATTAATAAATTCCTGCCTAGGGCTGAGGTTGTGGCTCAGTGGTAGAGCACTTGCCTGGCATGTGTGAGGCACTGGGTTCAATCCTCAGCACCACATTAAGATAAATAAATAAAATAAAGACCTATCAACAACTAAAAAAAACACAACAAACTCCTGCCTCTTTTGAAATAGCTACTAGCTTCCTTATCATTGCAATCATTTGAGCACCGTTGAGATTCTCTGTTATCCCTCCCTAGAGTAGAAATATGAAGAAAGAATAGCAATATTTAATAAAATGCTAAAGTTGTTCAGGACAGTTTATAGGGAATGACATCCATTGTAGTTTCACTAGTCATGGGGCTGTTTTCATCAGTGTAGCCTGGTTTCTTTTGGAACATTAAAATTAAACTTCTAAAAGCAGTTACATTGTATTTTTGCAGTGACTTCCAATACATGGGATGAGTTTTTTGTTTGTTTTGTTTTCTCTTCCGTGTGTGTGTGTGTGTGTGTGTGTGTGTGTGTGTGTGTGTTATTTAGTTATATTTGGTACCAGGGATTGAACTCAGGGGTGCTTAACCACTGAACCACATCCCCAGCCCCCTGCCTTTATGGTGTGGGGGGTACCAGGGATTGAACTCAGGGGTACTCAACCATTGAACCACATCCCCTGGAGACCTATTTTGTATTTTATTTATTTATTTATTATTTATTTATTTATTTTTAGAGAGAGAGAGAATTTTTAATATTTATTTTTAGTTTTTGGCGGACACAGCATCTTTGTTAGTATGTGGTGCTGAGGATCGAACCCGGGCCACACGCACGCCAGGCGAGCGCGTACCGCTTGAGCCACATCCCTAGCCCTTTGTATTTTATTTAGAGACAGAGACTCATCGAGTTGCTTAGCACCTCGCTTTTGCTGAGGCTGTCTTTGAACTTGGCATCATTCTATTTTGAAACAGGGTCTTGCTAAGATGCTTAGGGTCTCACCAAGTTGCCCAGGCTGACCTCAAATTTACAGTCTTCTTCCCTCAGCCTCCAGAGTTGCTGGGATTACAGGTATGCACCACTGTGCCTGGCCAACGCATAGTTTTAAAGTAACAGAGTTTAAAAACAAAAACAAAGGTGCTTTGGTCCTGTGGCAATCAAATAATCATAAGATATGATCGCTTCTTTTAAATTTGAGAGTCCTCTTTGTGTACAACACTCATTTTGGCAGGTTTAATTGCTTAAACAGGGAATTGTGATGAGTAACAAGAAATTCCTCCCATCCTACATCTGAATGCTAACTTTGAACCAGGCCCCATGCCAGGTGTGCTATAAGAATGAATAGGAAATAAGAACCTTTCCTGCCTTCAAGGAGCTGACAGTCCTTGGGAAAGGTGAATACAGGCAGATAATGAAAAAAAAAAAGTTGTTAAATATATATAGTAAAGATGGAAATTTAGTGCTATTGAGTCCTAGGATGCACCTAACTAGTTAACCTGCAAGAATATGGGGAATCTTCACAGATGTAGGAACAAGAGTTGATCTACAAGCCATTTATAGTATTTGACATTTAGTTAGTGCTAGATTACTAGCAAAGGGCATGTGAGAATAAACCCTGTGGGTGTTCAGTTATATGAGATTTAGCATTTATTAAAAGAGGTTGAACTACTTTTATAGATTCAGCATTCTTAAGGATCTTCAAATACTATTCAGAAGATAACAGTGGTAAAAAACTTATAAAGAAAACTAGCATTTTATTTTTTTAAGATTGGGGATTGGAACCTGGAAAATTTGAATATAAACTACATAGTTTCTGGATTAAGCAGTAAATACTAAAAGGAAAGCTGACCCAGATAGTTTTTTTTTTTAATTTAAATTGTTAATGATTTGGAAAAATGTTAAGAGTAAGAAAGACCTCAAAACAGTGGTAGGAGGACTTTGAAATAGATGGTTCCTTTTTTTTTTTTTTTTTTAAAGTTGTCCTGAGGATCAAACCCAGGTCTTATGCATGATAGGCAAGCAAGAACTCTACCTCTGAGCCACATCCCCAGCACTTGAGTTGGAAATATTTCTAGAACAAGAAACCCCCTAGGTTCTTGGCAGTGGTAGGAGTAGAAGTGAAGATAGGAAAACAAGAGTGTTACTAGTTTGATGTAGTAGGATGCAAGAGGAATTTATGGACTTTAAAATGGTTGCAGTTGGTAAGCAAGTCCAACTTGCAGGAAGAGTACTGTTTGGTAACTTCAGAAAAAGCTAGGATGATAGCAGCTTTGTTTATATTACAATCACTTTTGGAAATTTAAGATGCAGAGCTTTTTTGGTCCAGGAACCTAACTCAAGAGCAGTAGGATTAAGCATAAGACAGCCAGCTTTCTCCCTCCCTCCATCCTTTCCTTCATATTGAACCCAGGGGTGCCCTCTTTAATATTTTAAGACAGGGCCTCACTATGCTACATAGATCTTTACTACATTGCTGAGTCTGGCTTTGAACTGGCGATCCTCCTGCCTCAGCCTCCCAAACCTCTGGGATTACAGGCTTGTGCCTTCGTGCCCAGCTTTGAATGCTGTTATCTAGTCAGTTCTAGTTTTGGCCTTAGAAATCAGGTGCTTCTGTTTTAATATCTCCTGAAAGAAGACTTTACCTGACATTTTATACTTTGAAGAGACCTTACTTTTATCTGTAACGAATAGGCTTTTGTTATTTTATGGACATTTTAAAAATACTTCTGTTTAGCTGTGCTTAAATGTTATTAAAACTTGATTTTGCTTTAGGAGCTTTACCTGGTAAGTTCCTCTGAGAAATGTCATGCTAGACCAAATATAAGTGATGTTTCAGTTCCTAGGTTTTAACAATCTAGGGAGTCCTAATCAGAGCATTGACTTACGTTTGGCATCTAATGTAAATGGGGTAGCCATGTTGAGGGTAGACCAGGGAGCTCTAGTAAGTTGAATAGAGGTAGTGAATAAAGTAGGATTTTTTTCCTCATGCTTTTTCATAATGTAGTTGAGATCTCTGAAGAAAAGATAACTCCCTCCTGAAAGAACTTGAATATATAATAGAAATTTCATTTTTATCTCAATGTAGCTCCAAGAAAATGAACGGCACCCTGGACCACCCAGACCAACCAGATCTTGATGCTATTAAGATGTTTGTGGGCCAGGTTCCGAGGACCTGGTCTGAGAAAGACTTAAGGGAACTCTTCGAACAGTATGGTGCTGTCTATGAAATCAACGTCCTAAGGGATAGGAGCCAAAACCCTCCTCAGAGCAAAGGTGAGGGCTTTGGGTTTTTACATGTAAGTCCCACCATGTGCCTTTTATCTCTCCTTGCCAGAATGCTTCTGTGATCATTTAGGGGAAAAGACTGTCCTTTTATTAGGAGATCTATTTTCCAATGCAAACACATTTAATAGCTTATTAATAATATTAAAGTAACATGAGAATAATTTGAATTTTAGGTCTGTGCTGTCCTTTGTGAGAACTCTAAATTCAAGAGACAGTTCTGTGTGAGTGTCTCATTTGATCTTGGAATGGAGTGACAAAAATAAAAGTCAACCAGCCATGTAAATTTTTTTTAGTGCTTTGACTTGAGTAAGCTGAAAGATACTGTCCATGTACCCAAGGATTTCTTGTTAGTATTATAGAGGCTATTCAGGAAGAACTTGTTTAGGCAACTTGTTTGTTGTAGCTTATAAATGTAGAGGGGAAAAAAAAAAGGCTACCAGAAATACCAGCAGAATGAACATAAGACTGATGGTAGATGGGCATTACCTTTGCTTTATATACACAGGCATGTTCTTATTTTCCAAATGATCAATTTCAGAGTAATTTTTTGTGAAAGCTATTCTGTAGTACAAATGTAAGCAAGCATGATTGTCATGTTTGAAACTAGCTTACTATATCATAGGATCTTAGAGCAGAGGAATTATTTCTCTTTGTGACATAGTTAACAAAAATATAAAGTATTGTAGTTTCTGAAAATGACTGGCAATATAACATTCAGTGTATTTCAAATCTTAACTACACCATGATTTAAAAAAAACAAACAAACCTGTTTTTGTATTTTGGCTGTACTGGGGATTGAACCCGGGATACATGCTAGGCAAGCACTTTTCCACTGACTGAGTTATATCCCTAGCTACTCCGTATTGTATTTCATGGGAATATGGGAGCATCAGAACATTGAAGCCCAAGATTTCCAAGATACACCTTCCCATCCTCCAATAAAAACAAAGAACAAAATTTATAGATTTACAGACAGCATCAAGTGCTATTAAAAGCTTAATTATATTTAATGAGAACTAAAAGTCCCCCTGCCCCCCTCCACCCACCGAAAAATGTTAAGGGGTCCTTGCTCTTAAGTCATTTTAGAATTTAATGAATGATTTAATGAATGTTTAAGGCATGTGGTAGCTACTGGCGATGATGTAGGGAGAATGACTTATTCTGAGAGTGTAAGGAGAGGAGTTCTAGCACACTACAAGCTTTAGGAGTATGGGTTCCTGCCTGTCTGATTTGTGCCTAAGTCTTCTTGCCCAGCTTACTACCCAGAGCTCCCAGTAGGGTGGGTTAAGGGAATGGATATTACCTTTAAGGCAAGCTATCTTTCCAGGGATGTTGCACAGGCAACTAAATAGAAGATTTATTTAATATTATTATTAGGAGACTAAATGAAGGAAATAATTAAAAAATAATTCCAGGGCTGGGGTTGTGGCTTACTAGTGGAACACTTGCCTCACATGCATGAGGCCCTGGGTTTGATCCTCAGCACCACATAAAAATAAATAAATAATTATAAATATTTTAAAAAAGAATCCCAGTGCCCTAGGTTCTCCTTCTCTCTCTCCTTGCCAGTTTTACTAGACCCAGCCTCCTATTAAAGTTTCAGCCTGTCAATGGAAGGAAGAAGTGCTTTAAGAATTGTCAGTTTTCAAAGCACTAGTTTGATTCTGTAAAATCTTGGTTAATTGCAGGGTGCTGTTTTGTTACATTTTACACCCGTAAAGCTGCATTAGAAGCGCAGAATGCTCTTCACAACATGAAGGTCCTCCCAGGGGTAAGACAACTTCTAATACAAGACACTGGTAGTTTTGATGCATAGGACATGGTTATACATACCAGGAACACCCTAAAAATCATTTTGGGGATAAGCTAGTTGCTGTGGAATTTAATGTAAAGGAGTACTTAAAGGGAGCATTTCAAAGAAGATTAGACTGAAAGTAGTTCTCTTACAACCAGTAGTCTTGGATATTTTGACTACCTGACTCATGTTCTTTCTATTCTTACATTTTGCCAGAAAAGATCATGAGGCAGACATGTGTTCAGAGAGAACTCTTATGGCCCTAGTTTTGGCATGTCTTTTAAAGTCTTCATTTATATTTTTGAATGCATCAGTATGTATGTATGTATGTACAGATACTCAGTAACATTCATGGTATGACTTTTTAGATGCATCATCCTATACAGATGAAGCCTGCCGACAGCGAAAAGAACAATGGTAAGAAAGCATACCAGATTTTCCCGTTATTTCTTTCTACTTCATTTGCTGTTCTTATGTTCTCTAGATTGAATTGTGCTCCAAGAAACCTAATTTGTCATTATTTGTTTGTTTTTCCCTTGTAAAATAAGTATAAATAGAGATGAGAGGGCTGGGGTGTGGCTTGGTCTGTGATAGACCACTTGCCTAACACATGTGAGGCCCTGGATTCGATCCTCAGCACTGCATGAAAAATAAAAATAAAATAAAGGAATTATGTCCATCTACAACTAAAAATATTTTTAAAAAATAAATGAGATTGGATTTAAAAGTAGGATATCAAAGTAGGGTTGACTGGAAAACATTACAATAACATTAGAATGATCTGGAATGTCCTTCAAAAATATAATTTCTTATGGGCAGGAAAGGGGAAAATGAACAAATTGGGAAGGAGAATTTAATTTTCTTGAATATCAGAGTTTCCTCAGCTGTCACGCAACAAGGATAAGGCCATGTTCAGCTCTCTCATCAAAATCCCAGTGGGAAGAGGCTGGACAAATTTCAGTCCTCTGGCATGTCTTGGGCATGTCTGGAGATGCACTCAGACCTCAACCCTCAGCTATAGGAGCTGAATGTCACAGGAGCCATAAAAATTGAAGTTGGTGAGCTGGGGCTATAGCTCAGTGGTAGAGCTTTGGCCTAGCATATAGGAGGCATTAGGGTCAGTTATTACCATATAAAAATAAATAAAGATATTGTGTTCATCTCCAACTAAAAGAAATTGGAAAAAAAAGAAATTGAAATTTCTCAATTTAAATCTTTCCAGAAAATCTAAGTGAAGCCAGGTACAGTGGTACACACCTATAATTTCAAGGATTTAGGAGACTGAAGCAGGAAGATCACAAGTTGGAGGCCAGCCTCAACAGCTTACCAAAATCTGTCTCAAAATTAAAAGGGCTGGAGATTTAGCTCCATGGTAGAATGCCCCTGGGAATAGAAAATCCAAGTAGTACATAAATTTGAGAAAAAGTTCAGTGGTAAATCTTTGATCTTTTTATATATGTATATAAAAAAGATGTTGATGGACTTTCTATTTTATTAATTTATTTATATGCAGTGCTCAGAATCAAACCCTGGGCCTCACACATGCTAGGCAAGTGCCCTACCATAGAGCCACAACTCCAGGCCACCTTAATTTGGCTTTACCCAACTTGAAATAGCTGAATGAAAATAAGCAAAAGAGTCATGGGTAGCTGGGAGTGGTGGTGCAAGCCTGTAATCCCAGCAGCTCAGGAGGCTGAGGTAGGAGGATCACAAGTTTAAAGCCATCTGCAATGGCAAGGCCCTAAGCAACTCAGTGAGACCCTTTCTCTAAATAAAATACAAAATAGGGCTAGGGATGTGGCTCAGGGCTCAGTGGTCGAGTGCTCCTGAGTTTAATCCCTGGTTCCCCCCCCCCCCAAAAAAAAAAAAAAGAATCATGGTGGTGTAATCCTTGTGGACTTGGACCTACCAAATGAAATTGTAAGCAGGAGAATCTCATGAAACTGGATGGCAGCTGGCTCATAATTTCATTTGGACAAAGCATAGTAGCACAGAGCAGAGCACAAGGTCAAAACTTATTTATTCATTCATTTACGTGCTTGGGATTGAATCCAGTGGCAGTTGACCACTGAGCTACATCCCCAGTCCTTCATAAAAATGTTTTATTTTGAGATAGTGCCTTACCAAGTTGCCAAGCTGGATTCAAACTGGTGATCCTTCTGCCTCAGCCTCCTGAGTTTCTGAGATTACTGACATGCGTTTACAAGTTGAAACCTTTTTATCCTTGCTCACACTCAGAGGTATTAATTTTGACTTTGCAAAGTTTGAGTTTGAAACTCAAGTGCTAAAGTAAAAAAGTAAAGTCCAAAAAGGTAGGTAGACAGTCTACTCACTGAAAAGTTGATCTCATTCCTCTGGTCACATCAAAGTTGTAATGTTCTTCTTTCTGTAGTATTGTAGTATTTGTAGTATTGCTAGAGAGAACAAACATACCAAAGTAGTTATCTTTATTAATCAGATAAGGTAACTGACACAAATTGGTTAAGTAACTTCAACAAGAGCATGAAGCTGTTAAATTTCATCTCAGTACTTCTAGTTTCATATAATTTTAAGATGTCTCTGGTTAGAAGAAATGTAAAATTATGGGGGTGGGGGGATAGTATGTCTTGGGATCTGAAATGTGGTATGAGGCACAAAGCCAGGTTTCACACCCAGATGATCTAGCTCCTGAGTGTGTGCTCGACTGCATTTTAGTAATAACATTCAAGCCTTTTGTGTATTACTCTCTTAGCAGTGGAAGACAGGAAGCTGTTTATTGGTATGATTTCCAAGAAGTGCACTGAAAATGACATCCGAGTCATGTTCTCTTCATTTGGACAGATTGAAGAGTGCCGGATATTGCGGGGACCCGATGGCCTGAGCCGAGGTGGTACAATTTAAAATATATATATATATTTAGTTTTTAGTTGTAGTTGGACATAATACCTTTACGTTATTTTTTTTTATGTGGTGCTGAGGATCAAACCCAAGGCCTCGCACGTACTTAGTGAGAGTGATCTACCGCTGAGCCACAACCCCAGCCCCCAAGGTGGTACAATTTTAGCTATTAAAGATAATTCTCTTAAATTTGGAGTTTCTTTTTAATTGGCCCAGTGGAAATCAGATTCCTAGCCACCATAGCCCTGTCACCATGAAGAAGTTAGGCCTGCTGCTTTGTTCTCCCATGAGTTGATCCCCTTTTGATTTCCTATTCTCCCTAAGGAGTCAAATCCTGCACTTCAGTGTCATGTATTAAAATTTTCTCATTTGGTGCTTAAAGATCTTGATGCCAAAAGGAAACATTTTCTTTTCTTTCTGTGGGGAACTAGGGGATATGATTCCTTCTTTCTCTCTCAAACACCTTCTTTCCTATCTGTGGTACCCTGGTTTTTCATTAAATCAGTTACTGCACTAGTGTGGCACATCTGTCTCTTCACCAGCTCATGAGCCCCGCCGAAGACAGGGACCACATTGGTATCACTATCATGATAGTTGGCATCATAATAGGGGCTTAGCCAGTTGTCAATGAATGTGTAAATGAATGAATGAATTATTGACTCTTCTCTTATCAGGTTGTGCATTTGTGACTTTTACAACAAGAGCCATGGCACAGACAGCTATCAAGGCAATGCATCAAGCACAGACCATGGAGGTAGGGAACAAATAGGTGTAAAGGGGAAATTCCTTAGCCTGTGAATACTAGGACAGTTCCAACGAAGTTCAGTTACATGTTCAGCATCCAGTTGCCCTAAAACTTAAACAAATGGTTTCTTTACAGTTAATATGTTGGGGAAATAAATAAAATAACACATTGGAGAAGGGTGTGGTGATATGCACCTGTAGTCCCCTTTACTCAGGAGCTTTGAGGCAGAAGGACGGCTTGAACTTGGAGGAGTTTGAGTCCAGCCTAGGCAACATAATAAGATCCCATTTTTAAATAAACAAGTAATAAAATCAACATTGGAAACAGTTGCTCTTTTAATTGCCTTTGGTGCCAGCCTCTATCAGGAAAGTGAAGTGAAATTAGAATACAGTCTGCATATCTTCAGAAAGGAGGATTTTCCCATTCACTCAGAAGGAGGAGTTTGACGCTTTGATTTTTGGTGTTTTCATAGGGTTGCTCATCCCCCATGGTGGTAAAATTTGCTGATACACAGAAGGACAAAGAACAGAAGAGAATGGCCCAGCAGCTCCAGCAGCAGATGCAGCAAATCAGCGCAGCATCTGTGTGGGGAAACCTTGCTGGTCTAAATACTCTTGGACCCCAGTATTTAGCAGTGAGTCTTTGTGGTTTGCTTTCTGCAGACTGTGCAAGCTCCCAGCTGTTTCTTCTTCTGCTATCCCTAGCTAACACACACAGTGGCATTTATAATTTGTGGCATATAGAGATTTTGAGTAAAAATTTAGGCAAATTGATATTTTTTTCCTATAAATCAGGTTAGTCTGTCTCTCTTTCTTGGTCTCTCTCTGGTCTTGTGTCTTTGCTTATTTCTTGAGGCTTTTCCCTCAACTAAAGTGAAATCCTAATTATCTGACCTAAGATTTAGAAATATCTCATGTTTCCCTGTCTCCAAGAGCAAAATTCCTAAGGGAATCTTAACTACCAAGCACCATTTTCCATATATCTACCAGATGTAGAGGGGATCATTAAAATCCTTATTGAGGGCTGGGGCTGTAGCTCAGTGGTAGAGCGTTTGCCTAGCATGTGCGAGGCACTGGGTTTGCTCCTCAGCATCATATAAAAATAAATAAAATAAAGGCACTCTGTCTATAGCTACCAAAAAAAAAAAAGTTATTATTGAATCTTAGGAGAAAGCTTGATAAATGTTTTCTTCAGTGAACTGAAAGATCAAAAGATTAACATTATGGAGTGAAAATTATAGGTGCGTGCTTAAGCTCACCATATTGTAATAGATTTCCTTTTATTTAATGTTGAGTTTGAATCATATAATCCAAAAAAGTGTCCAGTCCTAGTTTGTTGTTTAGAGTAGGTCTACAATGTGTTACAGGGAGTTACTACTGCTTTAACTCTTAAAATAAGACTTTTAAAACTGTTATCTGTGAGTAACCAAAGGTAATGTCTACAGTTATAAATGATAAAACCACTGTATTCATTCATATGGATATCCACATAGAAATAACTAGCGTACTTATTCATTCCTCCTGTTTTTTGTATTGCTGGGGATTGAACCCTGTGCCTTGTGCCATATCTATATGAATATAGATGCAGAATATAGCACCACTTCTGAGCTATATTCTGAGCCCTCTTTCAGATATTATTCTTAATTGAAACAGAGGAAAAACAGTGATTTCTGTCCCTTAGAACTGAGTTTTGGTTAATTTGATACCTCTGGTTTTCATATTTCTTAAATCTTAGCAGAAATCCTAGTTTATCCTAGCTAGTATTTCTCTGAAGTTAAGAAAATATTTATATATACACACATATATACACACATATATATATATACACACACATGTGTATATGTTATATTTCAGTAGATTAAATCGTTTCTTAGTGTTAGGACATTGCTTATAAGTTCAGATGATTCAAAAAGATTCATCTGCCAAATGATGATATTTTGAAAATAAGCATGATAATCCATTTGCTCTTTAGAGTTTTTTGATCCACTTTTTAGGGAAAATTTCCGCTTTTGCTGTCATTGCCATACCCAGCAAGTGCATAATGGTATATGCTGAGAGCTGTGGTCTCTTTATTTCAGTTAGACATGTTCCCACCCTAAGAGCTCTTCTCATTTAGGGAGGAAATGGAGGTGCCAAGTACAGTAGAACAGTTTACCAGTTGGAACTGTACACATTGACCAAGGTATTTAAGAAGAGAAAAATGAAGACATGTGGGTGCTAATGGACTGTGTAAGTGATAGTAAATCATCATTAATTATGAGGTTTTTTCCTGGAATATGTGGATTTGAACCAACTGAGCTATAATAGACTAGAATAGTGGTTTTTTGTGGAGTTATGGACTCCTTCGAGAAGTAGTAAAAGTTGTTTGTCTTTAGTTTTTCTTCTTCCAATTCTCTTTCTGGAAGTTTGTCAATCCTCTGAAATCCATGAACTCTGCCCTAGAAGAATTTATGATGACAAAGGAACTAGGTTGGAAGTTTATAGGAATGGAAAAGGGTTGAGTAAAGGATCTAGTTTAAGAATACTGGTTTTCTAGGAATAGCAATTGGATTTGAATGGAGGAAAAATTTCCAGCAAGTTGATGAGAGAAAGGTTGTGGTTTGCCAAGATATAGAGTATACAGGATAAGGCTGTAAAGTTCCATAAACTTACATTTGTTTTGATGATCACTGAAAGAATATACAGTGAACCTGGTCATGAAATGATCCATCAATCATTTGGTCATCTGCAATAGTAAAGACCAATTTGAAAGGAAGAAAATAAATAGGGTTGGATAGATACATAACTTGGAAGCGATTGATTAGTTATGAAATACTTGTGCAGTGGTAGATAATGATATTTGAATAGTTGTATGGAATAGAAATCAAGTATCCATATGGAAACCCTTTTGGAATAAGATGTGTTGGCCTCACTAAGGAGAGTTTAGGAGAGAGAAACTAGAAACGGCAATCATTTGTACAGACAGTAAGTGCTGTCAACCTTGCAGCTGCTTCAATTTTGCTTATTCTCTGCACTACTTCTAGCCTTTGCTGTGCTTCATTCTCTTGCCCAGGAACTTGAGTTCAGCTCAGTATCACATGAATATATTATCTTCTGTGCCAGGGCTTTAGCTGTGTTGTATTGTCCTATGCTGCCATAAGTCTTATATTTCCGTTGTGTTAGCTTGGGATCTTGTCTTCAACTTTCTTCTCTCTGGGGGCCTCTGCACTCTTGCTTTGCTGTGCTGTAGAGTTATCCCAGATGCAGAACCAGCCCTCACTCTCACTCTTGTTCTGTTTTTTGGTGTAATGTCTAGCTTTATTTGCAGCTCCTTCAGCAGACTGCCTCCTCTGGGAACCTCAACACCTTGAGCAGCCTCCACCCAATGGGAGGTAAGTGTTTCACTGCTGTGGAGGAGCAGCAGCAGCACCCAAGCCAACAAACCCAGCTGCCAGCAGTCTTGAGAATTTTGCCCCATTGGTGCAAAAAAAAAAAAAAAGTTCACTCATATATAAAGCCAACCTAAGATGAACATTCTAGAACTCAACTGCCTTGTCTCTGTAAGGTGCCTGTATTGTCAGTACCACATTACTCCTGAGGTTGTCTGCTGCCTCTCATCACTTTAAATTACTGTTGAGGAGGAAAATGGAAAATTGCTGCTGTTAGCACCTAGGGACTATCTGTGGCCATTCTGTCTGATAAGGATCTCTTGATTTCTACAATAAAGTAATTTTTAGTGACTCTGAAGAAAGGCCAAGGATGGCTTCCATGCAGATGACTTAATCTGAGACTGCTAGAACTGAGACAGTTAGTTGACCTGTGTGGTCCTATACATGTTATTTTGTAGGGGAATTCTTGTTGTTTTTTTTGTTATGGTACATGGGAAACTTAAATGAAAAATACCGGGGTTTATAACAACATGGGGCGCTTCAACACATCTGAGCCTGTGCCTTCAGAAAGGTCATTGAAGGTAGGGAATAGGGCTTTTCCAAAGCTGCCTATGCTGTATCTTCTGGCAAGATAAGGCTGAGCAAGTACATTTGAGAAAGGGGTAGTTGGCAGTGAACTGCATTTTGCATTTGAAAATTTTTCATGGTGGTTCACATTGTTCTAGGGAATGCTATGTTTTGAAAAGTTAGTAGATTCTAATCTGTATTGTGTTTTTATTTTTACTTCTTCCACCTCTTCCTCTGAACTACGTTTCCATCATATAGTAAATGGTTGGCAACATTTACACCACGATTCAGGTTTCTCCTCTCAACTATAATATCTGGGTTCTGCTTTCAGGTCTTTCCATCTTCTGATGACGATTAATCTGCTATGGGAGAGGCAGTGGGTTATTTTTTTTTTATTGTCGTTGTTGTTGTTGTTTTCTACTCTTGATGTTTTCATACATGTTCTCTCCTGTCATTCCTCCTGGGCCTTTTGGGTCTATTCTGTGTTTTCCGCTTATTCCTTGTTCCCCTCCATTGCACAGAGCAAGTCCCCTGTAAAGTTTGAGCAATGGTCTTAGATGCAGTCCTATTCTGTACCATGGTTGGAATTGTTGTTTCCTTGGGTTCCTGGTCTCATGGTAGGCTGCACACACATTCTTCTTTCAGTCTCCTGATTGCCCACCCCTTTATTAATGCTTACATGGGGTGCTATGCCATTGAATTAATTCTTCTCTGAATAAATTATAAAGTATTCAAGTTTCTTTCTTCATTATCTTCTATTTATTTTTTTATTTTTAGTTTTTGGAGGTGGGGTATGGGTGTTGTGGGTTGAACCCAGAGCCTGACACATGCTAAACATTCCGTCTACTACTGATTTACATCCTAAGCAATTTGTTTTCTTAATGAGTGGTATCCTGGGCACAGTGGCACATGCCTGTAATCCCAGCTACTCCGGAGGCTAAGGCAAGGTCAAGGTGAGACCTGTCTCAAGTTTAGAAGAAAAAAGGATGGGGATGTAGCTTGGTCGTAAATGGTTTCTGGGTTCAGTCCTTAGTACCTACCTGCTCCCCCATCCCAAAAAAAGGATATCTGATTTTTTTTTTTTTTAAAGCCCTATAATTTTGCTAGTAAGGCTTATCTAGTTCTTTATCTGGGACCAACCTTCTGTCATTGCTGGAGTAGATATCAGAAACCCTTATCTGCTGGCTAATCTCTTGCTTTGAATGTTGCAGGGTTAAATGCAATGCAATTACAGAATTTGGCTGCATTAGCTGCTGCAGCTAGTGCTGCTCAGAACACACCAAGTGGTACCAATGCTCTCACTACATCCAGCAGTCCTCTCAGTGTACTCACCAGTTCAGGTAAGCATGATATAGGAACTATTGTGCCATTGTGTGCCTTGGGCAGATCTTCTGTTTTGAAAGCAGAGTCCAAAGAGAAGGCTATATCATCCTGGAAAAGAGTTACTACTACATTCAGAGGAGTTGGATTATGAACAACAAATTCTCAAATGTCTTTTTCTGACTCAAGAAAAATCTTATAATTTTTAATGTGCTGTAACTATCATTTGTCTTTGTCCTACAAGGACAGTTATCAGTATTTGTAACTGAAACCTTTGCAAATAGAATAGTTGAATAGTATCCCTTTTGTGATTCTATTTACAAAAATAGGCAAGTAATGGCTTGAGCTTAACTTCTGGATTTCTAATAGCAGGGTCTTCACCTAGCTCCAGCAGCAGTAACTCTGTCAACCCCATAGCCTCACTTGGAGCCCTGCAGACATTAGCTGGAGCAACAGCTGGCCTCAATGTTGGCTCTCTGGCAGGTAAGGGGCAGCCGGGCAGCCCCTGGTTGTCATCAGGCCATTTCTTGTGTAGTAGCATATCTTAAAGCAACCATGGTTGGGGCACCACTAGGATTGTTGGAGTGGCCTAAAAAGGTTAGAAATAACCATGGGATTTCAAATCTGACATGAGTAAAATCCCATCTCTGTCTCTTACCTAGCTATAGTCTTGGACCACCTTTTTACTGTCTCTTTCTCTTCTATGAAAAAGGAGTAATAAAATATTTTGAAGGATTCTTAAGAAGTTAAGTGAAGATGGGCATGGTGGCATACACCTGTAATTTCAGCTACTTGAGAGGCTGAGGTAGAAGGATATAAAGTCAGAGCCAGCCTGTTCAACATAGAGAAACCCTTTCTCACAATAAAATATAGATTCCTGGGGATGTAGTTCAGTGGTAAAGCACTTGCCTAGAATGAGTGAGGACCTGGGTTCAATCCTGCCCCCAAAGGGTAAGTAAAGTGCTAATGGGCACATTGCTTAATGTAGTGCCTGGCAACATAGAATCTACCCAGTAAACAATGTTAACTGCGGTTTTGATGATAGGCTTTACCCACGTCTTAGTATAGATCACATGTAATCCTTTTAGTCCACAACCCTGGGATTCTTGTTTTACTAAATTCCAGCTCTATATTAAAAAGTAGCAAAATAGCCAAAGAGTCTGGCATGTTTAGGTGGCATCAGAGTTCTTCCAAAGGTTGGAAGAAAGTAATGGGGAGAGCCACACCTAGGTATGGTATATTTTAAATGTTCACATTAGCAGCAACAACTGACAAATGCCCTAAAATCAGACCAGTCAGTTGAGTATTCCTTAGGGAGAAGCTAAGACAGAGAGGAAAGGGCAAATTCGGGGTTTTCCCTATTCTAGGTGTCTCTAAGTATACCTGTCTTTGGCATTAGAGGAGTCTTTCTTGTATATTAATCCTGTTTTTCTCCAACCAAGGGATGGCTGCTTTAAATGGTGGCCTGGGAAGCAGTGGCCTTTCCAATGGCACTGGGAGCACCATGGAGGCCCTCACCCAGGCCTACTCGGGTATCCAGCAATATGCTGCTGCAGCGCTTCCCACTCTGTACAACCAGAATCTCTTGACACAGCAGAGTATTGGTGCTGCTGGAAGCCAGAAGGAAGGTAAGTGCCAAGGGAAGTTAGGGGCGGGGCTGGACATATCACTCCCTCTGCACTAGAACTAAAAGGCAGGGCAAAGGTTGCAAGCTGGTTAGAACACTTTTCTGACCAATGACAAGAGTAAACTGAAAAACATTGCAAAGTGTGGTGTTTTTGGAGTGTTTTCTGGGTGTAACTTAAGTCAGATCCTCTGTACACTCTCTTGGGGTAAGGGTTATAGTTTTTTTTTTTTTTTTTTTTTAAAGAGAGAGGGAGAGAGGAGAGAGAGAATTTTTAATATTTATTTTTTAGTTCTCGGCGGACACAACATCATTGTTGGTATGTGGTGCTGAGGATTGAACCCGGGCCGCACGCATGGCAGGCGAGCGCGCTACTGCTTGAGCCACATCCCCAGCCCAAGGGTTATAGTTTTTAACTAAAGAAACAAATACTGGCCTTATTGCTTCTGAAATCATTTGAAAAGAATCTGTTTTTGTTAGGATGTCATCTCTCTGGGTTGTACATCTGTCAAAGTATCTTCTGTCCAGGTGTCCCTTTTAGTTATATCATTTGGTATTTTTTTCCTTCACTTTCTGATCAATGCTTGTTCTAATTGAGGAGAAACTGAGAGGTGATGGGACCAAAGAAGTTATAGCCAATGGGTTGAGAAAGTGGCAAGTCTGTACTTTGACATAATGGAAGTAAATTTGATTTCAATGAAATTAAATTTAGAAGCTTTCCAGACAGAGGCCTGATGATGATTTGTAGAACTAGAAAGTTCTGCTGTCTCCTTAGTGCCTGGAGTTGGCAGGGTTTTTTATAATCACAAGCCGGCAAAGTTTAAGCACTAAAGTAGGAAAGATAAAAGTAACCTGTAGCCCCAAGGAGTTCTGCTCTAATCCCTCCTCATCACCTCCTCTGAATTAGATACTTCTCTGCCCTGGAGATGTGGCAGTGGGGAAATACTCTGAAATTAGAACCAGTATTTTAGTGGAAATTACAGAGATAAACAATAAAAAAGTTGAAAGCATGATATGTTTTAGATGGCTCTATGAAGAGTGACCAATAGAAAAAGGGATAGTGAGTGCCAGAAGCATTGCATGTTATGAGAATAGCCAAAGAAAGTCTCTAAATTGACATTTAAATAGAGATCTGAAGGAAATAACCCAAAGGAGTATCTAGAGAAAGAATAATGGGGAGAAGGGAAACTGTAAGTGCAAAGGCCCTGAGGCGGTCACATTCCACCTTATTCTATCACAGCAGTGAGGAGGCCAGGATCATTGGAGAATAACTGAATGCAATTCTGATAAAATCTGTTTGGTTGGAAAGTCACTGAGTGTAAGTGGTTGGATAAAGAAAGCATGTTCTGTTTTTTAGCTCAATGTTAATCAGGCATATTTTTTAAAAATTCATTTTACTTGGCTGCGGATGTGGCTCAAGCGGTAGCGCGCTCGCCTGGTATGCGTGCGGCCTGGGTTCGATCCTCAGCACCACATAGAAACAAAGATGTTGTGTCCGCCGATAACCAAAAAAAAAAAAAATTCATTTTACTGGTCTGGAGATGTGGCTCAAGCGGTAGCGCACTCGCCTGGCATGCATGGGGTGCTGGGTTCGATTCTCAGCACCACATAAAAATAAAATAAAGATGTTGTGCCAACTGAAAAATAAATATTAAAAAAAATTCTTCTCTTAAAAAAATTTTTTTTTCCATTTTACTGCTGAGTACAGTGGCACGCTCCTGTAATCTCAGCTACTCAGAAAGCTAAAGCCGACGGTTCACAAGTTCAAGGCCAGTCTTGGCAACATAACAAAACTATCTCAAAAAATAGAATGGGCTGGGGCCATAGCTCAGTGGTAATGCACCTCTGGATTCAATCTCTAGTACAGAAAGTTTATTTTTACATAGGCACAATTTATACATAGCTAAGTTTACCCATATTGGTATATAGATCTGTGAACTTTGAAAAATACATATAAACATACAGGCACCACCATCACAAATGTAAGCCAGTTCCATCATCCTTCACGCACTTTTGTAGTCATTGGCTGCTCCTACTCTTTATTCTGACAACAACTAGCGTGCTTGCCCTCTCTATAGTTTGTAGACATAATTTTGCACCTTGTTTCGATTATAAGTTTTCTGCCTCCTTATCTTGTTCCTCTGTGGCCTCAGTCTCTATTTTTCTGCTCCATAAAGTTCTTCTCTCTAGGGGAAGGAGCATAGCTAAACATGGGGGGAAAAAACTAATCCAGTGATTACCCTTTGCTTCCCTGCCTTATGTTTGGAGAATTTGTTTAGCTCCCTCAAAGAATCTCTGTTTTTTGGGATCATAATTGTTTTGACATAGGTTAAAGGAATGAAAGAACATTGATGCAGGGTGATGAGCATGCTTGACACTGACACTTTTCTAATCATTGGGTATTTTGAAGGTCCAGAAGGAGCCAATCTGTTCATTTACCACCTGCCCCAGGAGTTTGGAGATCAGGATCTGCTGCAAATGTTTATGCCCTTCGGGAATGTCGTGTCTGCCAAGGTTTTTATAGACAAGCAGACAAATCTGAGCAAATGTTTTGGTATGTTACTTCCCTTCTGGTGTTAGGGTGGGATTAAGTTTTTCACCACTGAGAAAGACAAGGGGAAAAGCTGGATTTGATTTTGGGCTGGTGTATAAGTTAGTCTTGGGCAGATCACCTGACCACTTTTTGAGCTTCAGTTTTCCCATATCTGTTAGGAGGTAATGATTTCTGCCCATAGTACTGTTCCAAAAGGAAAACTAATTTATGAAAAATGGCTTGCAGAAGATCTTAAAGTACTATATAAATATCAGATGGTATTATTATTAAGAATCTAACTTATGGGCCAGATGTGGTCATGCTCATCTGTCATCCCAAGAACTTGGGAGGCAGAGTCAGGAGGATCTTTAGTTCAAGGCCATCCCCAGCAACTTAGCAAGAAACCCTTTCTCAGTAAAATTTATCAAGGGCTGGGGATGTAGCTCAGTGGCAAAGTGTTCCTGGGTTCAATCCTCACTAGCAATAAAATTTAAAAATATTAAGAGCCAGGCATGATGGCACACATCTGTAATCCCAGCAGCTTGGGAGGTCAAGGCAAGAGGATTGTGAGTTCAAAGCCATCATTAGCAACTTAGGGAGACCCCAAGCAACTTAGGGAGACTCTATTTCAAAATAAAATATTTAAAAAGGGCTATGGATATGGCTCAGTGGAGAAACACCCTTGGGTTCAATCCCCTGTACCACCAAAAAATAAGTTTAAAGAAACCTAATTTATTTCATGTAATATTGTTTCCAAAGTGTATGTCCCTGCTGAGAAAAATTGGGACTTGAGACTTAAGCACATAAAACATCTCTTGCATAAGGAAGACTGAGACTCCTTGCCTCATCGTGTCCCTCACTTAGATTTCTGCTTGGGCACACAGGTTTTGTAAGTTACGACAATCCTGTCTCAGCTCAAGCTGCCATCCAGTCCATGAACGGCTTTCAAATTGGCATGAAGAGGCTTAAAGTGCAGCTCAAACGTTCGAAGAATGACAGCAAGCCCTACTGAGCGTGCTCCCCTCTGAGACTGGAGTGAGAGGGTCTTCCGGTAAGTGGGGGAGGAGCACCCTTAATGATTCGAAGCCCTAAGGCTGTGTGTTGACAGCCCTGGACCCTGATCCCTGCCACTCTCGCAGGCACAGCTTGCCCTGAAGACTCGGCTACTGCCTTCTGTGGGAGTTTCGCTTCGTACAGAGGACAAGTTTGTGCTTTGGTTTCCAGTGTTTTACTTTGGAGTTTAGGTGCCATATCCTGAGTTTCTTTTTTCTCCCCCTCCTTTATTTAAAGTTTGCCGTGTTTGTAACCAGTGTGTGTTGAGAAGGACCAACACCAAACCAGCCTGGGGGAAGGGAATGGGGAAATGTTTTTAAAAGATAATGATCAGAATTTTCCCCAAACCACCCCAACAGAAGACTAAAAGTAAAACAAAAAGTTGACCCTCAGAATCTCCCCAAGTGCAAGGGTGAGTGAAATGAAAACTGACATCCAAGAGTTGCAGGGGTGGAGTAGTGGGTTGGCTTTGGAGGAGAGGGGGTGATTTGACACCTAATGCTTTGACAGCTGGAGTCAGAAACACTTCCACAGCTGCCTTCTGTACAAATATTTTTTGCCACCTTTTGTTCAGATTCTTGCCCTGGATTTCTGCCTCCTTTTTTTCTAAAAGGTGTCACCGATTCTCTGGAAATAAAGCACCTCTTAAATTAGCCTAACATGCAAAAAGCAGGGAGACATCACTCATTGCTGTTCTTCCCTGACCACCACTGCTGTTGGATTGCCCTACCTAGCTGGTGGCCATTTGGGATTAGCAGCCAAAGAGGTCATTTTTATTTTATTCCAACCTCAAATTAGACAGGGGCCCATTTCCAAGAGCTTTCTTGAAAGAAGGCCTCTGTGGAAGACATTGCCTGGTTTTCTTCTTCTAGTTCACCACAGCAAGGAACATCATCACCCCCATCCCAAGCCACAATTTTCTCATGAGGGCAAATCCAAAAAAGTCTTGCAGCATCTTGCTGAAGGGGGCACCTCTCCTGGGCAAAGTGATCAAAAGCCATCTAGTTGGAGGAAGAGGAGCTTGCTTCTTAATATACCTGAATCAGAAGGTCCCTTCAGATCAGGATGTCGCATTTGCCAGTGGCCAGAACTTAATACTTAAGAACATGAAGAGGTCCATGCTTGCCTCTTTGAATGAGGTGTCCCAAAGGTAGTATTCCCACAGAGGTCTGACAGGCCCCTCTTCTAACCACTCCAGCCCTATCTTCTGCCCTTGGGGACAGAGGAGACACCAGGATGTTTACAGCCTCCATATGGATTTAGTGTTCATTTACCTCAGTATTACTGTGTTCATTTTGTCCTCATGCTTACAGTTAGCTCCCTGCTGCCTCCCACAGGTCTCACTCCAGCTCTTGCCTATGACCCACACAGCCTCTGGGCTCTGCCTCTGCTCTATGAAATGCTGTGGGGGTGGAAAGCCAGGAAGGACATGCTGTTGGGAATGTGCACCTGGGCAGAGGTAGCCCCATTAGGATATGACTATCAGCCACAACCAGGGACTGGGTCCCTGAGTCCCTGGAAGCTTACACCTCACAAATGAGTCCTGACCCCTAGAAGCAGAGATCAGAGTAATGTGGTTGGTTTGCTATTAAGTTGGATGGGGGCTCTCTCATTGTCATGCTGTCCCTGTGGGTAACAGAGATTGACTGTCTTGCTGTTGTACAGTTAGTTCGTGCTGTTGGATTATCCCATTGAAACTGGGACGGCTGTTCCCTTCTCATAGTGATAACTTGGGTCTGTTGTCCTCTTAAGAAACGAGAAACATACACTTCTTAAGCTGAACCACGTAAACTTGAATTCTGCGCACTGGGAGAAATGTGTCCTGTGTTTCAAAGGATAAAACTGTTCTAAAGGCTTCCAGGGTCATGATGGGATTTTTTTAAATAAATGCAAAAAAAATAAAAAGAAAAAAAAAAAGAAAAAATGCTAGGTTGGGGAGGCGCTGTTCTGAAACCCAACCGGCTGGAACCAAGAATGTCGTTTCTATTTTTATAGAAGTTTTATACAGCTCCGGGGTGGAGAATATTTATTACCTAAATTATATCTCTGGAAAAGGCCAGGATTTTGTAGAATCCAGAATGTGATTGTTGTACACACAGGGTGCTGTGTATGATTGAAACTACTGACTTTCTGTGGCCGATTGCAGCCCAGCTAACCTGCCCGAGGGGAAGGTGTTAATGCTGTGAATTGGCAGAGGAGAGAGCTGTGCTCCACAGGGTGCTGCCGGTGCTGTGCTCCCTAACCTTCTGTTCTGTCTTCCTTCTTGGCCAGAACTCCACTCCCTTCCCCCTTCTCCCTTTTTCCTTATCCCTGCCCCTCCCCCATTTCATCATTTGTCCATGGATTTGTTCTGGGCTCTGGGACCTTATGAAACGACTTTGCTAATGACATGAGGCAAAGGTGCAATCCACTGCCTTTGATACAGACCCTGAGGCTTCATACCTGGTTTTGGTTCTCTTTTTGTAAGAGGAGCACATGCCCCAGCAGGGTCCTGGGCTGCTAAGGCAGCCAGCTGGTGAGATCATGCACTTCTGTTCTCTCCTCCCTCTGCCCAGTGCTTTGCACCGCAGCAGCACTGCCCTTGAGTACAGTTCTTTCCCCAGGCCAAAGATGGTTTTGTGAAGAAGCTGCTCCCCTACAAGTCTCATGGTGTGAAAGGGCTCAGCTCAGCTCAGCTCAGCTGGGAGAGTGGAGAGACTCGCAGTCAAGTCTTAAGCAATCCTTTTCTGTTGTGTGGAGGTTTCACTTACAATGTGTTTTTTGTTTTGTTTTTTTGTTTTGCTGTCGTTTTGTTTCATACTTGGGTTACATCATGAAATTGATTTGCCTTGAATGTAGCCAGACCACTGTCTCTCCTGGGTTCCATTTGAGTGGCCAGGACCTGTGTGGAAGCTAAGGGCTTGGATTTCTGGGAACAAAGGGTGGTCCCCATAGGTTTCGAGCAGAAATCCTGTCCCTCTACCATAAAGAATCTTCCGCACCCCAGCCAGTGTCTTCTGCTGCCCCCTGCCCCACTGAGTTTTGGCCCGGGAATGGGAGAAAGGCTGAGAGGCCCTGTTCCCCAAGAGACATTTTCTTATATGTTGAGTGCTTCGTGGGAAATCCAAGCCTTAGGTTCCCTTCTGTCTCTGGCAATTGGATGTTTTCTTGGTGTTCTCCATGTCCTTTTTGACTTTTCCCTGTGTCCATTGTTAGCATGTGCAAAAGTTCCCTGTCATTACCCACCCCCTGCCCCATCCCGCCTCCTCATTTCAGGGCTGTACACACAGTGAGTGTCCTGTTCTCTCTCTCTGTTTGGATGTATTGCTCTGTGTAACTCAGTGGGTCTCCCTCTTTCTGGTTTGTTTTTTTTTCTAGATTCCTGCCGTTTGTTCATCGTTGTGCCTAAAGCATGTCGATGTGGCGTCAAGTACATCGTCCAAATCCCTGTCTCTTCAGCTTCTCTGATGCTTGAACTCTCACCTTTGACCTTGTGTTGACCTTTGATGCTGACGTGTATTTTTATTATGTTTGTTTCTTTCTTTGTTTTTTTCTTTTTTCTTTCCTTTTTTTTTTCCCTTTTGTGCTGCCAAAATTGGTTTTGCTAGAACGACTGCTGAAGGGGAAATATTTAAACTTGCATTTGAATATAAAAAAATCTATTTTTCTAGAACTTCATAAGATAACCACTTGATTTTGTGATTCCAATTCTTTGTAATTGTCTTCAGAGCAGCCCTACTAGCACATACCGCGTGGTGTTTGTATTTCTGTGAACACACAGCCAGTCCGTTTCTAGGCTTTGTTTCTCTGTGTGCTTAGTTTTAAAGACAACTTTGAAGTAAACAATGAAATAAACGATGTCACTAAAACCTTTGAGGCTCCTGAGCACATTTTGCTGACATAGTTTGTGGGGCTTGAGGAGACGCATGTGTTGCTTTTATTTTTGTTTTTCTGAGTTCTCAACTGCAGCAAACACCTGAACCCCCCATCCCTTCCTTTCTGACTGCAGTTTGGGCCCCAGCCAGCCCTTTTTCTTTTTCTTTTTTCTTTTTTTCTTTTTTCTTCTTTTGTGGTTGTTCCCTGGAGCTACCCTGCGGGGAGCTTTGGCTCCCTCTTGCCCCTTCCCTCAGCCCCACAGGGCTCTCCTCCATACTTGTTCCTACAGTCTCCACAGCAAAATGTGATGCTTTTTGTTTTGTTTTGTTTTGTTTTTGTATTGTTTTTGTTTTGAAATTTTTTCTTTCCTACTAAGATTATGCCCAGAAAAAAACAAGTTTTGCATGTGTCCTGCTGTTTCTTCACACCTTCGTATATATCACCTTCACCTCTCTGTTTTCTATAGTTTGTGCAAAAACTGACCGATTTAAAGGGGTTTCAAAGAAGCTGTTTTAAATTGTTGTGGGGTTGATTTTTTTTTTTTCAATATTGTACTGTTTTATTTTGAAGTGGCAACTTTCTCCTCTATTGCCCTTAGAGTGTTTGCCTGTGCACTTAGACTGTCACCTCATGCAGCCTCCAGGTCTCAGCAGGGCTCCCAGGAGGCTGGCTGCTCTGCTCAGGAGTGGGAAGACCCAAGAAGCAGAGCTGGAACCCGAAGGTGGCTATGGGTGGACAGGAGGCTTAGCACAGTAGGGCTAGCACCCAGCAGAGGGAGGGTGCTCCTAACCACCAGAGGATGCCGTCTGCACACTAAGCGACTATACATCTGCTGCGCTTTTCCTAGGTGACAAGCACAATACTACAAGTCTTCACACTGTTTACAGCCCTGGGCACAAACCACCCCACACTGGCTCTTCACCACAGCTCTGCTCTTGCTTAGCTAGTGGGGTGGGGATAAGGGCGGGGATTTGTTTTTTAAATTGGGTGAAGAGCCAAATAGCTACTGTCCCTGGGTGCCAGGCCAGCTAGTTCTTTGGTTCCCTGAGGGGAACTTTCCCTCTTCTCTTGTGGCACCATCCAGCCTCAGGGTCTTGAGGACTTGAGGAAGAATGTGAATGGAGGGGGAGAGGCCAGAGGAGATGAGAGGGCAGGGGTGGATCTGTGGAGGGATAGCAGGGAATGAGTTTATAGCAGATCCCACCCAGACCTACATGCTGGTGGGAGGAGGAGCTGAGAAGCAGAATTGTCCAGGGAAGGGTGGCAAGGTACAGCAAGGGACCTGGGGGTGGGTGGGTTAGAAGCACTGTTTAGCATCATTCACACTGGGGTTGAGGGAAAAAGGGATCCTGTCAGAATTTCTGCTCTGGGACCCAGCAGGTTGCCCAGTATTATGCTTGAGGCCACTCTTACTAGGAGGAAAGGGCAGCCAAGCGGAGGCCCAGTGTATGGTAGGCTGCTTAATTTCCTGGAAGGGGTGATTGGATGGAAAAGGCCAGAAGTCCCAGCCTGAGAGACTGCTGTGCACCCCACAGTCTGACTGCACAGAGCCGCCTCTGTTGGCAGGAGGCACTGAGGCTCCCCTTCCTGTGTATTGAGAAGCCTTGTTTGCCAATATATTTTGCTTTCAATTCCAAGAGGAGCTCTGGGAAAACCTGTGGATAAAACCAAATGCCAAACGTTGGACGTTGTTTCCTTTTCCTTTTCTCTCTCTGATTGTTTTAATTGTTCTGTGGTGGTTTTAATGGATTTGAGACCCTGGAGCGGCAGCTGCCTTTCTGATTTCCAGCTGCTTTTTGTGAATAATTTAAAAAGAAAAAAAAAAGAAACTTTACATTTTGGAGACAAACCTGTGTGAGTTTTTTATTGGTACAAACGTTGTATTTAACACTAGGGGTTTTGTACAGTTTTTTGCCTTTTCTACTAGAAAACAATGTAAAGTGATTTCACAATGTGAAGAGAAAAAAAAATTGCCACTATGACCAAACGCACAGTCTGTTCTGCAGCAACAACGGGATTCAATCAACTCAAAGTCGTGATTCAGCCGTAGAAATGCTTTTCCTTGACCTTGTTTGAGCTTTCCTTTCTTTCCTGTTTGATTTGCAAAAGAAAATGTCTTTTTTGTGTGAACTTGTGTTGTACTCTGTAGAAAATTATGGATTTTACTTTAATGGTTTAAATAAAGGCAAGAAGAGCCCTTATTGCTTTTCTTACCTAATCACAGAGTTTGTGTAGTGGATTAAAAAAGAAAAAAAATTGTTACAAGTTTGGAGCAAGGGAGTATGTGTTTAAAAGGACTCTCCTTCCTTTTTTTGTGTGTTTTTCCTTTTGTCCCAATGGGGAACCTAAATCTGTTTTAATTGCACAGACACATGGACAAAAAGTCATTTTGTATCTGCCAAGTGTGGTACCTTCCTTTGTTTATTTGCTATTAAACTGTTTGAGAAGAACTGATGCTGTCTTCAAGAGTTTTTGATTGCTGGGGGTGGATGGGGATCCCTAGAGGGCTGGGGTTGGTGGTGTTCCTTACACAAAGCAGACGAGTGGTTTTATCTTGATGGTGTGCAGCTGAACCCACCAAAGGACCCAAAGGAAAACGTAATGTATCTTAAGAACACTGCCTGCTTGGTATTCTTTTGTGTTCTGCAGGATCGCTGCTGATGTGGAAACATCTTAAAACTTTTGGGCAGCCTTAATTCTCTTGTGCTTCTCCCATTCTCAATAGTGGTTCCCTATCACAAAACTGGTCTATACCCACTATTACTGAAGTCCCTCTTTTGGTGCTTCATAGTCCCTGAGAGTTAGTAGTGGCCAGCACAAATCCCATACCTTGGCTGCCTGGGTCTTCCTCTCTAGACCTTTGAGGCACTGGCCCAAAGCAGTTACTCTTCTTTTATTCCTTCAGTTTATAACTTGGTGATTCCAGATCTCTCCCCAATTAAGGTCCTACACCTGGGACTCCCCTTAGACCTCTGAGAACTCAGGTTCAGTTCTCAGGAGTCTCAGGCCCTCTAAGAATAATCCTTCTCTTCCTTGTCCAGTCCTTTATTGCCACTGCTGTCCTCACGTGGAGACCTCTGGGTAGGTCAGGCCTTAACCCGTCCTCGCTGTCCTTCTGAGTGGGGTGAGTCTGTGGAGTAGCATTCCTCAGTGGGGGTGCATCACATACTAGCTGTGATGTGTTCTGTGAAGTAAGAGTTCTGACCACAGATTTGGGGGATATTCTCTTGCCTTCTAGCACCTAGTGGCATATTCAGGACTCTAAATGAGACACTAAAGGAACCTCTTAGGTTTGATTTAGTCCAGTATCTCCCAGACTGAACCCTGTTTAATAATATCCACTTGCTCCCCTCAAAAATTTGGTGGTTGTGGACCTTAAAAGATCTTGTCAACTGAACTGGGAATGTAACTCAGTGGTAGAACACTTACCTGGCATGCATGTGTCCCTGGGTTTGAGTCCCAATGCTGCACACACATACACACACCAAAAAAAAAAAGAAAAAAGATTTTTGTCAACCAAACTTTCTCTTTAGTTGCTGTTTTATTCATGTCACCATTTTTGTTTTGTGTAGATTTTATTGCAATGCTAGGGATCAAACCTCATGAATGCTAGGCCTTTGCCACTGAGCTTACATTCCATCCTCATATCTCCATTTATGTTTATTAAAAATGTTTAAAATTTGTATTAGCATGCAATACATTTATCTTAGCTAATGTCCATTGATTGTCTACTACAGTCTTGTGCTCTGTGAAAGTGGGGATTGAACTCATGGATGGTCTACCACTGAACTACATCCCAAGTAGTTTTTTGTTTTGTTTTAAATCTTGAGAGAGTGTCTCCCTAAGTTGCTGAGAGAGGTCTCACTAAATTGCTGAGGCTGTCTTCAAACTGGCAGTCTTCTTGCCTTTGCCTCCTCAGGTGCTGGGATTACAGGCATACACCACCACACCCAGTCCTTCCAGTTTTTATACCATTCCCCATTCCTGGGAGATGGCTATTGTTCCCCTCCCTATTTTATGGATGAGCCAGCAGGTTAAAAGTTAGGTGGCCTGCTACAGAGTGCTATATTTGAATCCTGAGTCCATTCTCTTAACCACTATTGGTTACAAATTACTTACTGTTTTCGGTAACCTGCATCTTCTCATAGGTGATTGAACTCTTTAGCTGGGGATTGAACTCATGGCTTTGTACATACAAGGTAAGCACTCTACCAACTGAGCTATATCCCCAGCCCCATTGCACTCTTTAGCAAAAAAGGATTTAGGGGGTCCTGTGACTCTCGTGGCTCCCCCAGGTGGTGACTCTTTGTCTTTGCCTCCTTGCTGAGGCCTTTTTGGTGTTGGAGCAGCTTGCAGTCATTCAACACTCCTACAAAAGTGCTGCCACCTGTACAGAGTGGGGGCTCCTCAAAGGCACCCCACTCTATACTCTCAGTTCTTTACTAGATCTGGTACTGACTCAGCTGTTGTTTACCTAATGTTTATTTTTTATTATTAATTTAGTGGCATTAAGTTCATTTACAATATTTGTGTCTCTATTACCACTTAGATTTTAAATCACCTTTTCAACTTCATTCTAACCACTAATAATTTGTAAAATCAAATTTGATATCCTAATTATTATATTTACATACATAAAATTACAGAACTATTAACTTGAAATGTCCATTGAATGCCTTTTCAGTGTTCTATATTTCATACTTTGAGAAAGTAGGGTGACGGAGGGTCAGGGCCTTCCTCCATGGACTCCTAGGTCTGATTCTTCTGCACAAGAGAAGTCCTCTCCTGCCTAGCTAGATTTTACGTTCTGTGACTCAAGAGGAAAGTGGTAGAACTTCTCTTTTAGTCTTTTTCTTGGGATTCCTGTGTTCCTGAGATAGAACTTGATGTGAAAATAGAATATTAAGTACTACTTGAGCATCTTTCATTAACATCAGACTTAAAGGCTGTTGTTTCTCTTACTTAATAATAATTTTTCTGGGACTGGGGATATAGTGTGGTAGAACACTTGCCTAGCATGCACGAAGCCTGGGGGTCAATCCCAAAAAAAGAATATGCATGGGGTACAAAAAAAAAGAAAACCCCAAAAAAAAAATATGCATGGGGTACAATAGTGCACACCTGTATTCCCAGCAGCTCAGGAGTCTGAGACAGGAGGAATAGTAGGAGGACCCCAAGTTCAAGACCAGTCTCTAGAACTTAGCAAGACCCTATCAAAAAACAAAACCAGGCTGGGGATGTGGCTCAAGCGGTAGCGCGCTCGCCTGGCATTCGTGTGGCCCGGGTTCGATCCTCAGCACCACATACCAACAAAGATGTTGTGTCCGCCGAGAACTAAAAAATAAATATTAAAATTCTCTCTCTCTCTCTCTCTCTCTCTCTCTCTCTCTCTCTCTCTCTCTCTCTCTCTCTCTCTCTCTCTCTCTCTCAAAAAGAAAATTGAAAGTATCATAATATTAAAAATTAAAAAAAAAACCTGGGGATGTAGCTCAATGATAGGGGTATCCCTGGGTTCAATCCTCAGTACTGAGGGTGGAAAAGAGAGGAGGAAGAGAAAGAAAGAAAGAGAGTATGCCAAAAGTAGTTCTTTGAACTTTATGTATTTATTTATTTGCAGAACTGGGGATTGATCTGATCCCAGGAGCACTACTTTACCATTGAGCTACTTCTCCAGTCTTTTTTTTTTTTTTTTTTTTTTTTGGGAGATGGTCTTGCTAAGTTGCTTGGGCCGACCACAACAAATTTGATTCTCCTGCCTCAGGCTCCCCCTGAGTAGCTGGGGTTATACTTGTTCACTGCACGTAGTCATATCTGGCAACTTCTGGCAGGGGGATCATGTACTAGGGATTGAACACAGGGGCACTTGACCACTGAGCCACATCCCCAACCCTTTTTATTTGTGTTAATACAGAATCTAAGTTGCTGAGGCTGGTCTTGAACTTCCAATCCTCTGCCTCAGCCACCTGAGTCACTGGGATCACAGGTGTGCCACCATGCCCAGCTTAACCTTTTTTAAATTAGACTTTTACATCTTTATAATCATAAAGCTGTACCTTAAACAGTTTGTATTCCTCTTCAAAGCCTTTCTCCTTGCTACAGATGGATCAGCACTTACTTTTTGCCACATTGCTATTTCCTGTCTGCAGTGACTGTAAGTACATGGCTTTTTATAACTCACCTGAGCGGCTCAGTCTCTGATGGCTCAGATGGGAAAGGAATTAAAGACCAGGTTGCTTTCACCTCTGGGAACATCAAACTTTAATGTCTGGTAACATTTTACTCAGGAGAAGTCATAGAGGGCTTTGTCTTGCACCTTCTACCTTCTTCAAGCATTTTCTTCCCTTCATAGGAATCCTCTCCAGCCCCTACCATCTGGTGTAAATTTAAGGTTCTTGTTTTTCTTAATCAAGAGTCAGTCTTGGGAACGAAGATTGAATATATTCAACTCGTAAAGGCCACCCTGACACTGCTGAAACTTTTTCACTATCCCATCCCCACTCTCTGAGAGTCCCCACTAACTTGAGGTCACTTGAAATGTGGGGGGGGGGGGGAAAGAAAAGCTTTACAAGCCAGGCGTGATGGCACACACCTAAATTCCTAATGACTCAAAGGTAGGAGGGTCACAAGTTTGAGGCCAGCCTGGGCAACTTAGCAAGAGACCCTATCTGAAAATTTAAAAAAAAAAAAAAAAAAAAAAACACTTTACTGAGACAATTTACATACCACCTCAGTACACCAATGGATCACCTATGTAAAGCATATCATTCATTGAAGTGATGCGGCTATTGCCACAGCCTAATTTTTAGATCATTTTTGTCACCCTAAAAAGATTCCATATCCCCTTTCCCTGCCCCTGGCAATCACTAATCAACCGCTGGATCTATTCTGGACGTTTCATGTAAATGCAGTCAGAAGACCTATGGCCTTTGTCTGCCTTTCAGTTTGCCTACCTCTTAAGGCATTTTCTCCTTTCTTCTCCATCCTGAAAACGAAACACATCATGGTCCTTGTACCATCCACCCTTCTGTTCCTAACCCTTCTGAGCTGGTCTTCCTGATCTCATCTTGTTTCTGCAACCCTTCTCCCACTTCCTGAGCTCCCATCTCTTCCTTATGTGACATGTTATCTGCCTCATCCTGAATCTTGCAGCCCTTGTCCCAGATAATTATCCATCAGACACTGAAGCTATTTAAGTTCAAATTAAAATTAAAGTGTCAGTAGCTCATGTTCACTAGCCATGTTTCAAGTGTTCAAAAGCTGCATTTGACCACGATATCTTATTGGACAGGGCCAACATAGAACATTTCGATCATTGCAGTGGTTAGGACCATTCTAGACAATTGGCTTCCTTTTAAGAAAACAAAATCACCACTATTTACTGATCTTAGCCCCAGCTCTGGTACTCCCAGCGGCTAGGAGCACGGAAAGGTAGAGGTTGAGGCACAGAGAAGATGCAGCTCCTTCCTAACACATGGATAATAGTAGGAGAGTTGGATTTTTTTTCTTTTTTTAGTTGATGGATCTTTAATTACATTTATTTATATGTGGTGTTGAGAACCAAACCCTGTGCCTCACATATACTAGGCAAGCACTCTACTACTGAGCTTCAACCCTAGTCCCGAGAATTGGATTTTAATTCAAGAGGCCAGGCTGACTCCAAAGTCCCTGTAGAACATCTTCTCATGGTGGGCCCTGGGGTGCCCAACTTAAACTCTACCTTCAGAATGGTGCTTCAAGAAGGCAGGAACCATGTTCCTACTGGCTGGCAGATGAGTATTTAGTAAACATTTGAAGAGTGAGTAAATGAACAAACACCAGAAGATGATAGGTGCTTTGTCCAAGAGCTTTCTGGTGGCTTTTCTTCTCAACCATATCAGAGTTATATGCAGTTTGATCTTTTAGAAATTGCTATCTTCATAATGATGTTTTTGCATCCAGTTTACAGATTCTTAGCTACCAGTCAGTACCTGAATTCATAGACCTTCTGTGGCCTTGAAACAGAAATGACAGCCAAGTCCTTCAAAGGTGCTTTACAGAAATTCTGGAACTACAAGTTTGAAGACTGGCAAGGCACCTCACCAGGGTCTCTACCCTCTAAGGAAATTGGTGCTGGTCCCATCCCCTGATTTTCAGGGCCTTGCGCAGTTGGTAGTTCCCCTTGGCAATCAGGGAAGTCCATGAGAGAAGGGAGTCTACTGTGGCTCTTCTGGCCCAGGAGTGCTAACAATAAACTGTGTGAGTGTTATATGCCTGCAATCCCAGTGACTTGGGGGGCCGAGGCAAGAGGGTTGCAAGTTTAAGGCCAGCCCTAGCAACTTAGCAAGGCTCTAAGTAAGTTAACAAGACCTGTTAGGGTCCGGCAAAACGTCGGAGGAAGAGACCACAAGAGACTGTCTTATGCAACAGCAGAAGGGTGGGTTTATTTGGAGACCAGCATGCTGGGGCCCAGAGCTCTCTATAGCAAAGAGAGATAGAGCCCTGAGAACAGCTTAAGCAGAGCTTATATACTTTCCCTGGAGAGGGCAGGGAGAGAAGTTACATTTTGTAGTTTGGAAGTTGGGGACAACTCATTCTGGGAACAAGATTAGCAAACAGTTCACAGTTGGGGACAGCACATTTTGGGAACAAGATTAGCAAACAGTTATTAAGATTTCAACAGTTTTTTGTTAAGCATATAGAAAAACGGAGTGACAAGTACCTATTTTATTAACCTTTCAGACCCTGTCTCAAAAAATTTAAAGGGCTGGAGGTATCAATGATAAATCATCCCTGCATTCAGTATCCAGTAACACACACAAACACACTTCTCCATCTTGTAGCCCACTGATAACTTCAAACATAGGGGCCAGGGTGAGGGCAGAGGTTACGCTGTTGGGACTTTTTCTTAAATGTACAAAAATATTACATAATTTTTCTTAATGAGATCATAATACAGAATGTTCTGAGCTTACTGTTTTCAGGTGCTGTCACGGGCAGCCTTTCAATGCATATGAAGGTGTCTGTCTACCACTTTGTTTTTGAGAGGCCACATTGCATTTCATAGCATTGACCACCCTCCTGTTGGACTCAGGTTATTTCTGTTTTGGGTTTTTTTTTCCCCCCCACTATTATAAATAACAGCCAGCAGAGAGATTTGGGGTGCAACATCATATTTTCAAAGCAAGCTTACACTTTGTCATTTCATTTGGATATCATCTCTTGCCAGATGAAATAAATATAAAATATCCCCATTTTATAGCTGGGGAAAATAATCTAGGAAGGAGAGACTTTTCCACATATCTCACTAATCTTGGTGGGAAGGTGACTGGCTGGGCCAGTGAAAGGTGACCAATGTAAGATGAAAGGTGGCGTTTGACTTCAGTGTTAGATTAAGAATAGGGAGTGATGGGGGCTGTGGATGAAAGAGACATTTAATAAGTCTTTTATGGCCATACACCAACCACTTGAAGTGTTAAAGTGCAGCCACACACCCAGGATTGCATGAGTTTCTGGTCTTGAAGTAAAGCAGGAAATGCACATTATACATGAAATATCTCGGTAGAAAGTGTTGCAAGATCATGACCCCTGCTTCAGGCCTGAATTACCTTTTTTTTTGTCCTGATTTATAATTTAATGGGGGTAAGGGGGCAGAGATTGGTTTTGTTTTCTGAACTTCTTGCCTCTTATTTATTTGTTTGTTTGTTTGTTTATTGGCAGCTCTGGGGATTGAACCCAGAGCCTCTTGCATGCTAGTGAAGTGCTCTACAACAGGAGTCCAAAATGTGAGCTTTATGGCTGGTATTTAATGCAGCAGATAATTAAGAGCCCCCAAGGCCCCAACTGTTCTGCAGCCCTGTGAAGTTAAATGGCCCAGAAAAGATCATTTTTGTGGCTTTCCACCATACAACTCCCAGTGGCCTTTTGTCCACTGGGCACTGGTGAGCAAGTCTTGACAATTTTTACCTCTTCCCCTATCCATGCTGTTGGCTAAAACCCAGAGCCTCGTGCATGTCAAGCAAGCTTTCTACCCTCTGAGCTACATTTCCTGCCCTGCTCACTTCCCTAATACAATTCTGCCCCCAGGCCACAATTTTGCCTAATGTTCCCAGTGACTTTATTGTGTGTCAGGCAGACATCGCTATAAATTCTCAAAATGTGTCCAGTTCCCCATTTTTCTCCTCCTCCATTTTCCTCTAAGAAACAGTATCCTGGTTAGGAGTGGGACTCCTAAAACCACGTTACTTCGGTTCTAGTGCCAGCTGTGTCTCTAGATTGCAGTGTGTTCTTTCACTCTCTGACTTGGGTTATCTGTAAAGTGAAAGGAATGCTTAACTCAGAACATGTAGTTGGATTTCTTTTCTTGGTCTCTTCTTACTCTGCCTGTGTCTGTTCAGTGACAGAGATAAACCACAGCACACACACCCCCCAAAGGAACATGATCTCCATCCAACTAGACCTTAGCTGAATTCTGGAAAAATTACTCAGAAGTAAAATTCCTGAAGGAAACAAGGTATTCTATCTAGAACAAGCAGGTGTGGCAGTCCCTATCATGGAAGTCAGGGGCAGGGGAAGCCTTTATCCTGTCACTAGAGTTCCCCAGGTACCTGGAAGGACAGTACTGGCAGCCCATCCTCTCCTTCCTGCCAGACTTGTGCCTGGACTGCTGAGTGGAGGGAATCTACTGGCTCTGCAGCACTTTGCTTTGGGCTCACTAAGATGAGAGGAAGGTTCAGGAGCTCTCTTGCCACCAGCAGCTCCCGACTGGCCTCTGAACCTCCCATTTCTTTCTCAGCTTCCAGTGGCCCAGGCCTAAGAGCACTTTCCCCATGGTGAGTTCCGGAGACCAGGCTAGCCACCTGACCATGAGCCTGCTCTGATGTCCCTTCTACTTCTGCTTGTATAGGGACTCTGGACCATTGAACCCTGAGCCATTCACTTCTGGCTCCCAAATTACCCCTCTGAATCTGTTTTCCTCAGTTTCCCTGAGGTGGTGCAGGCCATGGCAGATTCACTGCTAAGCCTACAGCGTTTGCTTCCACTTTCAAACTTAAAACAGTGCTTCCTTCCCTTTTCCCTCATTCATTCATTCAGAGTATTTATTGAGTGGCCACTATGTACATGCCTTGCTCTGGGGGTACAGTCAGTGGTGAATGAGACACTAAGTTCCTGCCCCTGCATTTGAGTGGGGAAAAAAGACATTAAGCAAATAACTTTACTAATGAATATGTAACTAGAGATAATTTTATAAGAATGAAGTAGAATTCTGTGAGAATAATAAGCTGATTAATTTTAAGTAGGACTCTCACTAGAGCATATGTATGGAGGATGAAGGGAATCAAGAGGTACGGTTCAGCAATCTTCAAAAAGGTCATTGTACAGTTACCATATGACCCAGAAATTCCCCTTCTAAGCATATATCCAAGAGAAATAAAAACATGTCCACACACAAATTTGTGCATGGATGTTTATGACATCATTATTCATGACTATTCATAATGGCCCAAAAAGTGAAATAACCCAAATACCTATCAGCTGACACAGTGATAAATAAAATGTGATCTATCCATACAATAAATATTAACTAGCTCAGTGGTAGTGCACTTGCCTCGCAAGTGTGAGGCACTGGGTTCAATCCTAGCACCACATAAAAACAAATAAAGGCACTGAGTCCATATACAACTAAATAAATAAGTAAGTAAGTGAATAAAAAGAAATGAAGTATCGATACATAAAACATACATGACCCTTGGAAACATTTTGGTGAGTAAAAGATCCATGAACACTGAGTGACTTAAACAACAGAAAAGTCTTCTCACAGTTGCAGAAGCTGAAGTTCAAGGTGTCGGCAGCGGTGGTTTCTCCTGAGGCCTCTCTTGTAAGGACACCAGTTATACTGGATTAAGGCCCACCCTAATGACTCACCTTTCTATTTCCAAGTATAGTCACATTCTGAGATTCTGGAGGTTAGGACTTCAGATGAATTGGGGTGGAGGCACAACTCAACCATAACCAATGGGATGAGAGTAACTGCCACCAGACACAGGTCATCTTCTGGGGATGATGACAGTGTTCTGAAATTTGTGGCACAACTTTGTGAATACACTAAAAAACCATGGAATTATCCACTCTGAAAACAAACAGGAAGAAGCCTGGGAACAGAGGAAAGAAAGTGGGAGGTAAGCAGAGGCCCTACCACCTGGGGCTCCTCTTTCAACTCCAGAGCATTAGTGCTTCAAATGTCTGTCCCTCCCTAAGACCTCACCTTTCTCCATATTACCTGGCATTAAAGCTCACTTTTAGGGACCCATTCAAGAGAATGGGACTGGAATTGGGATACTTTTCAAACCTCAAAGTGGCCTATGTGCCAGGTGCTAAATCCTTGTCAACTAGTACATCATTTAGTTCTAATGATCCCATAAGCTCTCTGCTGGCACTCTTCCTCCACAGAGCCAGGTAACTTGCCCAGAGTCACACTGTCCACATGGCTAGCACAGAAAGCAGCAGGATCCCAAGGCTGCCAGCTTGGCCACATCACTGCCTTGTCACTGCCCGTGAATTCGGGTTTACTATCCTGTTTACATTTTGTGGCACTACTCGGGGGATTGAACCCTGGGGCACTCTTCCACTGAGCTACATCCCCAGTCCTTTTTATTTTTTTAATTTTGAAACAGGATCTGGCTAAGTTGCCGAGGCTCGCCTTCTGCCTCATTGTCCCAAGTTGCTGGGATTACAGGCGTGCACCACCTGCCCAGCTATTATCCTTACCTTGTAGTTGACATAACCAAGGCCTGAAGAGGTGAATGACTTAGCTAGGGTCCTACTGTGAGTGAGATCAGGCTAGAATGTAGGCCTCTAGCACTGGCTCGATGTTGGGAGTGGTGTGGACATGTGCAGGGTAAGTGACCACAGTGCCCAGTCAATCAGGAACAACACCAGGAGAGGGGCTGGGGGTTACAGTGTGATGGGGAAGCGGCAGGACACTTGCCCCAGCCTCTCTGATGCCTGTGTGTCTAGCCTTGTCCCTGTTTCCTCCCCACCGGCAGCCCCTCCTGGTGCGAGGGCTGCCCAACCCCTCAGTGGCTTCTCCTTGGCAAGGCTTCAGGGAGGGCCTGACCTGTCAGAAGGGTCAGGGTCAGTATTAGAGGTGCTGAAGATGCCCAAGTGGGTGCCCAGGTGGCAGGGTGACTATCAATGGAGAAGCCGCCTTCCAGCTTGGGGTGGGTGCAGCAGAGGCCCGCGTGACCTTGCTGCTGACATTCCTTAGAGGCCACGTGGCCCCAACTGGCAGGGACAGCTGCAGACAGGGGCCGAACCAGCTTTGTTACCAGGGTGGCGCCCGCTCTCCATCCAGGCCCTGTTCAGCTCCTGCCCGACTCTACTTTCCTTCCCGGGGCTCAGTGGGCAACCGGCACTGTGGGTCCTATGCCATGAGGGCCTAGAGGCACAGAGAGCCACCAGGGCCCCCCCGTGAGCCTCAGGACTTTGAGAAAATGGGGCAGGACCAGACAAAGCAGCAGATTGAGAAGGGGCTGCAACTGTACCAGTCCAACCAGACTGAGAAGGCGCTGCAGGTGTGGATGAAGGTCCTGGAGAAGAGCTCTGACCTCGTGGGGCGCTTCCGTGTGTTGGGCTGCCTGGTCACAGCCCACTCGGAGATGGGCCGCTACAAAGAGATGCTGAAGGTGGGCATACCCTCCCGGGGAGGTGTAGGCTGGCTGGGGCCAGGGCTGGATGGCTACCAGGGCCCCTCGTAGCCTCCTTAGGCTCCTGTGTGTCTCACAGGCAAGTGGCTAGAACCTGAGGCTTGAGATCCACGTCTGAGACCCTGAGACTCAGATGTGGGCCTGTGGCCTTGAACTTCGGTTTTCTAATCCTTGAGTCTGAGGTCCTCAGGGTCCCCCAGACCTTGGCTGCTGGATTTCAGTCTGCTGTTGGGGTACAGAGTGTGCGCCTGGGGCTGTGGGCTCTGGGTTTGAGGCGAGGGCTGGTGGTCAGTAGAGACTTCAGACCTAGGCGGGGGGTGCAAAGCTGAAGGCCATGAGTGAACTGAAGAGCTGAAGCTACTAGGCTGTTGCTGGGACCTAAGATCGAGTCCGAGGCTGATGGGTGGGAGCCAGGGGTCTGTTGCTTTGGCTGTAAGGCCAGGGCTGCGTGTGGAGTCTGCAGGTCTGAAGGTATGTTATTTGCCTGCCACCCCGGTGGGCAGTTTGCCGTGGTCCAGATCGACACTGCCCGGGAACTGGAGGATGCCGACTTCCTCCTGGAGAGCTACCTGAACCTGGCGCGCAGCAATGAGAAGCTATGCGAGTTTCACAAGACCATCTCCTACTGCAAGACCTGCCTCGGTCTGCCTGGCACCAGGGCAGCCGCCCAGCTGGGGGGCCAGGTCAGCCTGAGCATGGGCAATGCCTTCCTGGGCCTCAGCCTCTTCCAGAAAGCCCTGGAGAGTTTCGAGAAGGCCCTGCGCTACGCCCACAACAACGATGATACCATGCTCGAGTGCCGCGTCTGCTGCAGCCTGGGCAGCTTCTACGCCCAGGTCAAGGTGGGCCTGGGCCCCGGGGGAGGGTAACGGGGACTCCCTGAAAGCCTCCCATGAGCCACATGCCTGGCTGCACTGCCTTGTCCAGCCCTCCTTTTAGGTAGGGATGAGGTGAAAGGAAGTTGGAAAACACTGAGCCAAGAAGGGCAGAGCCAGGATTCACACTGTGACTGACTTCCTGGGGTAGTGAAAGGTCCTGTGGGAGGACAGCCCATGAGCCTGCACTACCACAGATTTGCTGTGTGATCCTGGGCAAGTCACCACTCTCTGAACCCCAAGACATATGTCCATCAACTAGGGAGACAGAGCTCAACAGCAGGGATGTAAAGATTGGTCCGTCAGGTATTTGTTGAGCATCTACTATATCCCAGGCACTGTTGAACTGTTTCTCCGTGGCAGTGGAAATAACAGCAAGGTTCCTCATGAAGCTTGCCTTCTGGCTTGGGGAAAAGGACTGTCAACATAATCGGGAAGTCAACTGAATGGCATGTTAGAAAGTGCTTAGGAGAAAATAAAGGGCAAGGAGGTGATAGTCAGCAAGGGGGTGGGGGACATAATTTCAAATACAGTGGTCAGAAGGCCTCAGGGAGTGACATCTGGTGATATGAAGTAGATGAGAGTGTGAGCTATGCAGAAATCTGGAGCAAAGTTCTCCGGCAAAGCCCTGCCCTGGGCGGGAGGGTGGGGACCACATGGCTAAGGGACCACAGGTGAGGGAAGCTGAGGGTCAGTGACTGCAGCTTCTCAACATAACCCTCCTGGCAATCCGGCTGCGTGGGCCATCAGGGATTTGGGTGCCTGGCACATAGTAGAAACTCAGTAAATCTGGGGGTAACTGACTATATCAATGCAGCTGGATGAGGAGTGGGGAGGAGGAAATGAGGGGCATCGAGAACAGCCACCTAGACTGTTTTCAGGAACTAGATGCCAGTCAGTGAAATGAGATAGGACTGGGGAGGGATAGAGGTTTTTAAAAGCAACCCTATGTGAAAGCAATAGTATAATGAAGTCTTGTATGCGCCCACCACTTAGGTGGAAAAATTATTCCTATTTTTGCCATGTTGGCTGTACACATTTTAACCTAAAGTGTTGTGACCGAAAATTGTAGTGATGACATTTTTTAAGTCAAAGTAGTTCAGATGCAACCTTAAAATTTTAGAAGCCATTTTGTTTCATAAGGATACTTTCTAATGTAATCACAATACTATTATCACACACTCCAGAATTAATAGTAATCTCTGAAGAGCATCTAATGCCCAGTCGATATTTAAATTTCTCTATTTATCCTAAAAATATATCCTCACCCTCCTCAGCTTGTTTAAATTGGAACACAAACAAAAGCCACACATCAGAGTGGCTTATTGTGTCTTTCATGCCTCTCTCAATAGAAAATTCCTTCCCTTCCTCTTTATTTTCCATGACTTGCTGAAGAAACCGATCAACTAACCGCCTTGGAGAGTGTCTCTCTCTCTCTCTCTCTCTCTCTGTTTTTTTGTTTATTTGTTTGTTTTGGGGGGTTTTTTTAGTTGTAGTTGAACACAATACCTTTATTTATTTACTTTTATGTGGTGTTGAAGATTGAACCCAGGGCCTCGCTCTACTGATGAGCCACGACCCCAGCCCCTCTTTTGTTTTTGTTTTTGTTTGGGCGGGAAGGAAACTGGGGACTGAATTAGGGGCACTTTACCTCTGAGCTTTATCCCCACCCCTTTATTATTTGTTTGTTTGTTTTTTTGTCTTGGTAAGTTGCTGAGGCTAGCCTTGAACAAGTGAGATCCTCCTGCCTCAGCCTCCCAAGTCACTGGGATTACAGGTGTGTGCCACTAAACCTGGCTCTTCTTTGTCTTTATAAATATTGTCCCACTATGGATAAACTGTCCTGGTACTTAAGGTCTTTCAAAGTATGGTTATATTGGTTCTATCCTAGGTTTCAGCACCAAAAACAGAAAGAAAGAAAGATGGTTATATTAATATGATGTTCAGGCAAGGTGGTTTATACATATAATGCCAGCTATTTGGAAGACTGAGGCAGGAGTATGACAAGTTCGAGACCAGCCTGGACAACTTAGTGAGACCCTGTCTCAAAGATAAATAAATAAAAAGAGCTGAGGATGTAGCTCAGTGGTAGAACATCCCTGGATTCAATCTGTAGTATCACACACACACAAAAAAAAAAAAGAGAAAGAAAGAAAGAAAAAGTAAAAATAAATAAATATTATACAGTCTGAATCATTTATTTCTATTTTCCATTTTTATGTTTTTTTGTACTGGGAATTGAACTCAGGGGTGCTTAACCACTGAGCCACATCCCCAGCCCTTTTTATTTTTCATTTGAGACAGAGTCTCACTGAGTTGCTTAGGGCCTGAGGGCCTTGTTAGGTTGCTGAGGCTGGCCTCGAACTTGCAATCCTCCTGTGTCAGCCTCTGGAGCCACTCGGATTATACCACACCTGGCTTTAGTTTTTAAATGAAGTAAGAAGTTGCACACTGTCGAGGATGACTCAGTAGAAGAACTCAGTGATGCAGCGAGGTCGGGGATGTTCTGGCGTTTGGAGCAAGGACAGAATGGAGGCAGAGTGGGACCAGGTGGTGGGGAAGGGGACTCCTGTGATCCTCCCTTTTTCTAATGGCCAGGAGGCAGGTTGCCAGCTGATAAAGAGAAGGAGAAAAGGCCTTTGGAGGTTTGAGGAGATGGTGTGAGAAAATTATCTCATTGCCTCACCAAGTCTGTTCCATTGTTCTTTTGAGCCAGTGGTCCTGGAAATCTGTCATTGAGCCCTCAGGGAACAGCTGCTGCTGAGCACCAGCAGGCAGACTCTAGATAGGGGCTCTAGTATCCCTTGTCCTGTGTGGCTGTGAAGCTGAGGAGGCTTTGGGGACTGGGTGCAAAGAAGAGCCAACTGTTTCCTTGTCTTTTCATTCATTCATTGAACAAATATTTATTGAGCATCTACTAAGTCCAAGAACAGTGCCAGGCTCTTGGGATGCAGCAGCAATCCCAGTGAATCCCTCTGCTCCTGGAGCCCACACTTTGCACTGGCCTTCCTCTACCTGCATCCCCCTTCCCCTGGAGCCGGAATAAATGAATAAATGAACACTGGGACCCTTGGCAACCAGAGAAGCCAGCCCTGGAGCCCTCTGCTGGGAGCAGTTCCTGCCTGCCACTCAGTGCTACCCTCTCTCATTCTTTGTCCCTGCAGGACTACGAGAAAGCCCTGTTCTTCCCCTGCAAGGCCGCGGAGCTTGTCAACGACTATGGCAAAGGCTGGAGCCTCAAGTACCGGGCCATGAGCCAGTATCACATGGCCGTGGCCTACCGCCTGCTGGGCCACCTGGGCAGTGCCATGGAGTGTTGTGAGGTGGGGCAGCGGGGAAGTGGCCAGGTGGTGGTGTGGACCAGGGTCTGAGGGTTGAGGTGCAAAGACCTCCTGCTTCCAGATCAGCCCGTGGAGGCCCTCGAGGCTTGCCCATGGCCCAGCTCTCCACGGAGCCCCTCAAGGATGTGTTTCTTACCCCCAATCTGTCCAGGCCTCATTCTCAGAGGAGCATGTTCTCTGAAGTTTCCTCTGTGTTGGGCTCAGATCTCAGCTTTGCCACTTACTAGCTGGGTGTCTTAGGCCACTTCTCTGAGCCTGTTTCCACCTGTCAACTGACAGCTGCCTCGCTGGGTAAAGTGGCCTCCGCGGTTCGATGCAGGAAGCCTCAGCACCATGATAGGTGTATTAGGCTCTGAGGATACTGATGATCCTTGGGTTGTCCCTTCAAGGGGCCTCTGGGTGGAGGGTGCCCCAGTGGTGGGGTCAGATGAATAGGCCTGAGCCACCCACTCCCTCAGGAATCCATGAAGATCGCTCTGCAGCATGGGGACCGGCCGCTGCAGGCGCTCTGCCTACTCTGCTTTGCTGACATCCACCGAAGCCGAGGGGACCTGGAGGTGAGGTTACTGGGCTGGGGGCCCAGGGGGTCTCAGGCCTGGCCCAGCCTGACGCTCCCTCCCACCTGGCTCTGCAGACAGCCTTCCCCAGGTACGACTCTGCCATGAGCATCATGACTGAAATTGGAAACCGCCTGGGGCAGGTGCAAGTGCTACTGGGTGTGGCCAAGTGCTGGGTGGCCAGGAAGGCGCTGGACAAGGTGAGGTCAGGCCTTTTGATATGCCCCCAGCATTCCCCAGTGCATCCTGCTTGGAGCCACTCAGTCAGCTGACAGGCCGAGGTCTAGTGCCTGACAAGGCGCTCTCTGCCCCTGTGTCTAACACCAGCCTCATCCTGTTTCCCTGAGGCCAGTTATTTTCCAAGCTCTAAGAAGGCCCATGACTTGCCCAGGGGTCCACAGTTAATAAAGGGACAGGGCTGGGGTTTGGACCTGGGGTAGCGTAACTGCCTCCATGCTCCCATAGCACCCTGTGAGGCATTTTCTACCTGTTCCATATTTGCACAAAGAGGCAGGAGGTGACTCGCCACACAGTTCTGACATAGCCCTGGCAGCCGTGCATGTCCCTTCCCACTACCTTCACACACAGGAGCCTGGCCCTAGCCCTGCTGGTCTCTGCAGGCCCACCCTCCCCACCCCTTTTCTTTGCTGTGGGCCAAGGCCTCTGTCAGACACTCTGCCTGCAGGCCTGACCTCTGCTCACCTTCCAGGCTCTGGACGCCATCGAGAGAGCCCAGGACCTGGCTGAGGAGGTGGGCAACAAGGTCAGACCTGCGTCTGTCTCCTAGTCTGTGGTCAGCAGCCAAGTGGTGGGGAGCATGGGTCTGAGGGAAGGCCCCTGGGCCTGCTGGTGCCCTGAGCCCTTGCTGATCCTCTTGAGCTGCCTGAGGAGGTCCCCAGCCTCCTGTCTTCTTCCTACCCAGATGTCACTTCTGGGGGAGGAGCAGGAGTTGCATTACTTGGAGGGTGGTAGATGCCTTAGACCCTTTTTGACATTCATTGAAACTCCTGAGGTGGCCTCCTCTCCCTAAGAGCTGGGCACACCCAGGCCCTTGTAGGTATTGGTTCCGGTTCTCTTTTTTCATATTTTTTTTAGTTGTAGTTGGACACAGTACCTTTATTTATTTATCCTAATGTGGTACTGAGGATCAAACCCAGGGCCTCACACATGCTAGGCGAGTGCTTCTACCTCTGAGCCCCAGTTCTCTATCTTCCTGGGAGGTGGGCACAGGGGCCTCCTTGGAGAGATGAGGAAAGTGAGGCTCAGGCTCAAGGTCTATCACCTACTAACTGGTCTATCTTAATACCAGGACCCGTGTTCCCTCCATAGCATAATGCAGCCTCTCCAAATTTATAATCATATCCAGGCCTTAAAATATTGGAAACAGGCTCAGCATCAATTCTCAGAGTCAATCAGCAAATGTGCATTTCTCTGGGATCAGGTGCATAGTCCAACTAAAATGTCACATGTATTTGCTTTGGGCTAGATGATGCCCACTCAGGTTTATCCAGCTACCAGACTGATCAGAGATCCTTTTTTTTTTTTTTTTTTTTTTTTTAAAAAAAAAAAGGGTGGTGGGAGGGGTTTATTAAAAAAAAAAAAAAAAAAAAAAAAAGGAAAGCAAATCATTAGGGAGACAGTGCAGTGGATTTGGTCAATAAAGTTGTGCAAAACATGGAGTCCCAGGGAGATCTAGGCGTGAAGACTGTGACCTCACCCACTCCTTCATTCTGCTCCAAGGGAAACAGGTTCAGAGAGAGCAGGACATTTTTCCTAGGTCCGTCAGCAGAGCAGGGAAACGGCTGGGACTGGTCCTCACCAGTATGTGACTTTGGTCTTGGTCCCCACTCTGTTCTCCTGCTCCAGCTGAGCCAGCTCAAGTTGCACTGCCTGAGCGAGGGCATCTGCCGCAGCAAGGGGCTGCAGCGGGAGCTGCGAGCCCACGTTGTGCGCTTCCACGAGTGCGTGGAGGAGACGGAGCTCTACTGCGGCCTGTGCGGGGAGTCCATAGGCGAGAAGAACAGCCGGCTGCAGGCCCTGCCCTGCTCCCACATTTTCCACCTCAGGTGAGGGCGCCTGCACGGTGGCCAGGCAAGGGCCCCACTGACTGCGACACACTAATAATACAGCAGATACTGGCCTGGTGCTTTCTGGGGCCCAGGTGTGTTCTAAGAACGCCCCATTTGACTCCCTGAATCCTCCCAGCAGCCCTGCATGGCAGCCATTGTCATTATCCTTATCCCAAAGTTCTTTGAAGGGGTAAGGATAAGTTTTCCAGTTATCCCAAAGGGAAGTGAGAGGCCTCTTAAAGGTCATCGGATCAGAGAAGGAGGCCAGCCCTGCCTCCGCATCATGGCCGATACCAGCTCCATCCCAGTCTTGACCCTGCCCACGCCCTCTGCCTTGAAGGCTCCTGGGGCAAAGCAGAAGCCTGGGGACCAGGACTTTCTTTCCTTCCTTCCTCTGCTGCCAAATGGCCGCAGGGATACCTCCCAGCCCTGCAGCAGGAAGGCGGGGAGGAGACAGGGCCTAGGACCTGGAGTGGAACGGCAGGTCGGGGGTGAGTGGACAGAGCCCTTTGCCTCCTCAGATGCCTGCAGAACAATGGGACCCGGAGCTGCCCCAACTGCCGCCGCTCATCCATGAAGCCTGGCTTTGTATGACTTGCAGCAGCAGCAGCCCCCCACAACTCCCGTTGCCCTTCACCATCAGACTGAAGGCCCAGGTTTGCTCCTGGAGCAGCCACAGGCCTCCTCAGCCATAGCCAGGGCCTGGGGCCCGCCCACTGCTGCTCCTTCTGGCCCAGCTGCCCTCCCCTGCCTCTTTGTACTTTGCTCTTTATAGAAAAATAAATGGTTTGTACCTGATCCCACTGATTGGCTTTCCCTGCCCACGGTCTGATCCGGTGGGGAGAGGGGGAATGAGGCACTCCATGTGAGCTTCCTGGAGCACCTTCCCTCCACTCAGGACTCCACAGTGAGCTTGCAAGGAGATCCCTGCTGGTGGCACGCTGATGTGCAGGGGGTGGGGGATAAGTGTGGGCGGTCTGTTAGAACGCTCAAACTCACCTGTTAAAGCCCTAGTCAGCAGGGCTTGGAACACCAAATGCCATACACTGGGTGGCTTACACACAACAGAAATTTATTTCTTACAGTTCTGGGGGCTGGAAGCCCAAGTTCAAGGTGCCAGCAGATTGGATGCCTGGGGAGGGCCCGTAGTCTGGTTCCCCATGAGACCTTCTCTCAATGACTTCACACAGTGCCAAGGCAAGATAGCTCTCCAGGGTCCCTGACTAGGGCACTGTCATTTGTGAGGGTTCCATCTTCATGACCTAATCACCTCCCAATGTCCTCATTCCTAAAACAATCACACTGAGGATCAGAGTTTTTTTGTTTTTGTTTTTTTTTGAGTTGTCAATGGACCTTTTTATTTTTTATTTATTGATACTCGGTGCTGAGAATCAAACCCAGTGCCTCCCACATGCTAGGCAAGTGCTCTGCCACTGAGCCACAACCCCAGCCCTGGGGATCAGGTTTTAATATATGAGTCTTGGCTGGAGGGGTGGTGAAGGGTAGGACAGGTATTTGGACTATGGCAAAATCTAATCCCCAGCCTGAGTGTTAGGAACTTGAAGGAGATATTAAGGCCAATTGAGGTCATTAGGACAGGAACTAATTCAATGGACTCGTGTCCTTATAAGAAGAGGAAGAGGGCTGGGTGTGTGGCTCAGTGGAAGAGCACTTGCCTAGCATGTGTGAGGCACTGGGTTTGATTCTCAGCACTGCATATAAATAAATAAATAAAGGTCCATCAACAACTTTTAAAAAATTTTTTAAAAAGAGGAAGAGACATTAGACACCAGAGAGTTGGGGTTTTTTGTTTGTTTGTTCTGGTTACAGGGGTTGAACCGGGGTGCTTAACCACTGAGCCACATCCCCAGCCCTTTTTCATATTTTATTTAGAGACAGGGTCTTGCAGAGTTACTTAGCACCTCCCTAAATTGCTGAGGCTACCTTTGAACTCAATCCTCCTGCCTCAGCTTCCAAAGCTGTGATTACAGGCGTGCGCCACTGTACCCAGCTAGAGGTCAATATAGTTATAAATGTGAGTGTTCACCAGGCTGGGGCAGTGATGTGCACACCTAGCACCCTCATCTTGGCTTCTAAATACTGTGTTCCAAAAAGGAAACAAGGCTGTCAAAGGAAAAGGTCTGATTTTAGGCCTGGGCCATGAAAAGTACGAGACTGGAATATCTTTTATCAGAAAACCAGGAAATAAGGAATGATGAGGATAACAGGAGACATCTTGGTTGGACTCCTGCAGCTCGTGAGTAATGAGTGATCACGATTGTCTCATCAGTACAGGCTGCCATCACAGAGGGCCACAGAATAGGTGGTTTGACAACCATAGTTTTGGAGACTCAAGTCTAAGATCAAGGTGCTAGAAAATTGTAAAATCTGCCTTTTCACTGTCTCCATACCTGACCTTTCCTCTGTGCTCCTGCAGAGAAAGAGCTGCTCCTTCTCCCTTCCTTGTCCACCCCGAATGCCCCATCTCATGACCTCATCTAACCCTAATCACCTCCCAAGGGCTCCATCTACAGATAACCATCATGCTAAGAGCTGGGGCTTTGACAAATGGGTTCTGGAACACAATTATTCAGTCGAGAGCAATGATACTAACAGATTTTGTTGAACTAGAATCCATACTGATATAAATAAATTTATTATTTATGAGAAATGGGATGTCTGCATAATCCCAAAATTCTCACCCACAAAATATATCTTTTAACTTTAAAAGAAAAAAAGAGCTAAGACTTGGTTGGAAGGTTGACAGAGTCCAGCTTCATCAAATGAGAAAGGATAACACCTCCAGGAATGAGTCATGCTGCACCCGCAAGAATGCAGGGCAGAACTCCACGATGCTGATAGGACAATGCCACCAAGAATGTACAGCCCAGGATCAGGATCAGGAGAACATGCGAACATCTCAGGGGAACTGTGGTCTTCAGACATGTCAAGGTCACAAAGCCAAGGAAAGTCTGAGAAATGGTTCCAATGGAAAAAAGACTTGATACTGTTTTTTTTTTTTTTTTTGGTTTGTTTGTTTGTTTGTTTTTAATGAATGAATAGCTGGCTTTATTTATGTTTTTAAATATATTTTTAGTTGTCAATAGACTTCAAATCCCATACCTCACACATGGTAGCAAGCACTCTACTACTGAGCCACACCCCCAGCCCTTGATAATGTTTTTTTATTTTTTTATTTTTTTGGTACTGGGAATGGAACCCAGAGTCACTTTACCACTACGAAACGTATGAAAGTCCTTTTTAAACATTTTTTATTTTGAGACAGGCTCTTGTGATTTGCTTCGCATCTCGATAAATTGCTAAGGCTGGCCTTGAACTTGCAATCCTCCTGCCTCAGCCTCCTGAGTATCTGGGATTATATGCAGTGACACTGTGCCAGGTTTATACTGTTTTTGTTTTGTTTTGTTTTAAGGTTATAAGGGTCATCCAGTGGATAATTGAAGAGATTTTAATGAGGATCATATCTTGGGGATGGGGATATAGCTCAGTTGACAGAGTAAAAAAAAGGATTATATCTTAGGTATTACTTCATCAATATTAAATTCCTTGGGTATGACCATGTATTATATAATGCATTGCAGTTATATATGAGAATGTCTTTGTTCTTAGGACACATAGGCTGAAATGCTTAGAGGTAAAATGTCATGAAGTCTGTAACTTATTTTTTGAAGTGGTTCCAAAAAAAAAGTTCATGTTTACACACAGTCACAGCAAAAGCAAATGTAGCAAAATGTTGTCAACTGGCAAATCTAGGTGAAAGGTACAGAGGTTTTCACTGTTTATTCTTTCAATTTTTGTATCTTTAACATTTTTCAAAATGCAGTTTTTTTCAGAAAGATTTTAGAAAGTATTGTCTAGAAACAAATAGGGTGTGTGTGTGTGTGTGTAGAGAAAGAGAGAGAGAGAGAGAGAGAGAGATTTGTTATAAGGATTGGGCTCACAGCTCAGGTGATTATGGCATCTGGCAGGTCCCGGGGTCTGCAGGGTGAGTGGGTAAGCTGGAGACCCAGAAGAGAGGGCAGTTTAGTTCCATTCTGAGCATGAAGGCCTGGGAAACAGCCAAGCCAGTAGTGTAGTTCCCCTCTGAAGGCTGTCCAGCTCAAGATCCAAGGATATTTGATGTTTCACCCAAAGACAGGGGGTAAAAATCCTTTGGCCTAGTTTGTAGGTAGTATAGCAGGAAGATCTCTCTCTTACTCAGTCATTTTGTTCTATTCAGAACTTCAACTGATTGGATGTGGCCCCCTCTCCCACTACAGTTGACAACCTGCTTTTCTCAGTCTAGTGACTTAAATATTAATCTTTTTTTTTTTTTTCATACCAGGGTGCTTAACCACTGATGTGCTTAACCACATCCACAGCCCTTTTTATTTTTTATTTAGAGTCAGGGCCTTAGGGCTGGGGATGTGGCTCAAGCGGTAGCACGCTCGCCTGGCATGCGTGCGGCCCGGGTTCGATCCTCAGCACCACATACAAACAAAAGATGTTGTGTCCGCCGAGAACTAAAAAAATAAATATTAAAATTCTCTCTTTCTCTCTCTGTGTGTCTCTCTCTCTTTAAAAAAAAAAAATAGGGTCAGGGCCTCACTAAGTTGCTGAGGCTGACTTTGAACTTGTGTTCCTCCTGCCTTACCCTTCTGAGCTGCTGGAATTACAGGTGTGAGCCACCGTGCCTGGTTTTAAATGTTAATCTTGCCTAAAAACGAAATCAGAATGATGTTTGGCCAAAAAACCTGGGTACCCGATAGCCCAGTCAATTTGATATACAAAGTTAATCATCAGAGGAAGGTTAAGGTAGAAACAGGGAGGCCCAGGAAGAGGCCTCTGTGATAATTCAGGTGACATGATGGTACCTTGAACCAGAGTGGATAGGACATGGAGGTGGTAAGAAGTGGACATATTAAAAAAATATATAAAAAAAAGAAGTGGACATATTTGGGGTAGGAGTTGGGAGGAGATATCTCTTGTCTTGGAAATTTTCACCTAACAAGAGTGGAGAGACTAGAATGGTGAATCTCCATTCAGCCCTAACTCTTCATATTCAGCATATGGACAATCTTATTTCCGTTATGGCTACCCCCTTACCCCAAGCTCCACATGCTTCATTACATTATTTTGATTCTGACCTTATTTTGAATTCTGGATATATGTTCAAGGGAGAATGAGAGGAATTCCAGGTGGACTGGATGTGGTATATGGTGATCCAAGATGACACCAAGGCTTGTGTCTGAGCAATGCAAGGACCCAGTGTAAGGTCCTGAATGTGTCATAGTCTCTTTCTACCTGGGGCTGAGACCTGCTGAGCCTGGCTCAAGGGAGCACTCTGGAGAGAGTATGGGCTTTGGAGAAGAAATTGTCCAATCAGTGGTATGCAATTTAATTCTTTTTTTTTTTTTTTTTGGTACTGGGAATTAAACCCAGGGGTACTTGATCACTGAGCCACATCCCCAGCCCTATTTTGTATTTTATTTAGAGACAGGGTCTGGATGAGTTGCTTAAGGCCTTGTTAATTTGCTGAGGCTGACTTTGAATTTTCCATCCTCTTGCCTTAGCCTCCTGAGCTGCTGGGATTATAGGATTGTGCCACCATGCCTAATTCATATTTCCCTCGGGGAAAAAAAAAATGGGGGAGTGGGTAGGCACTTTCCAAGGCCCCTGGGGACTTGTGTTATACAAATAAGATGTATAAGCCAGGCCAGGTGGCATATGCCTGTAATCCCAGCGGTTTGGGAAGTTTAGGCAGGAGGATCATGAGTTCAAAGCCAGCCTCAATAAAA